AAATAAATAATAATAAATTATATACGTGCGCAAAAAAAAAAAAATTACAAAAGTATAATAATTATTTTTTAAGACTGAATTTAAAATTTATTTCTATATTAAAAGTATCAAAATTTAATATTCATCAAATAATTTACATTATTTTGAGCTTCAGGAGAAATGCCAATGACATTTTGGTTTTATTATATATATATATATATATATGTATAGCAGTTTAAACTCGCGGTTTGTATATATAGAATATTAGTTCTGATCTTAAAATAGAACACAATTATTATATGCTTATAGTTGACTTCTTATAGAACAATATATACAATTCTATTATTACCATTTGTCTTAAATTAAATAATCAATTTTTTTTTAAATCGAAAATATTAAAAAAAAATTATTAACAAAATTCAAATATTATTTAAATTTAAAGTATTTTAAGTTATTATTATTTTAATTTATAATTCAATTATAAATTTATATTACAGCATAAACATTAAAACTCTAAGTCTCTAAATAGAATTTTTAAAAGAAAAATAATTATATTTTATTAAAATTTTGCATTAATTTTTTGCAACAATTTAATTTGTTACCTCCCTGAAGTTGGCTTCGACGCTCGAAGCATGAAAATTATTTTTCATGGGACCAAAAATTTAAAATCATTTTGTGTCCACACAATACCTTAAAAAGTATTTCTCAAGGTATTATTTGGACGGAAAATATTTTTTAAAAAAATGGTAAAAACAATTTTCAGCGCTGAGCATTGACGCCAACTTCATGGAGGTAATTTGTTCGTATTTTTTATTTATATATAAATTCAAAAAAAAATCAAATTTCGAAACAACGGTTTTTAAAATTTTATAATAAGGGTTAGATAGAATATATAGAATGAAAATTAAATGAAAGCGAAAAATTTTGAATGTAAAATAAAAATTGTAAAAATAGGTTTAATTTTAAATAAAAAGTGGAATGAAAAATTATAAATTGACAACTTTTTTTTATGTCTTTTACTTTTACTTTTTTTATATTAATATTGTAATTTTTAGAATTTTAGGATCATATTTGATCAAATGTGATTGAACAAGATAATTATAAATTAAATTATCTTTAAAGGTAAAATAATGAATTGAATTAATAAAATTAATTAATTTTTGTGTTAAAAAAAAATAAATCAATCGATCCTGCCAGGATTCGAACCTGGAATCTTCTGATCCGTAGTCAGACGCGTTATCCGTTGCGCCACAGGACCTAGTTATTTTCACAGGGGAAAGAACCCTTCTTGAAATTGGAGTACCTACCTACTATATTCACAAAAATAGAATTACCTCCTAGACACAATAAAAAATATAATATAATATAATATAATATAATATAATATAATATAATATAATATAATATAATATAATATAATATAATATATAATATAATATAATATACAAAAAGTTTTGTAAATTATAAACAATATAAATTCTACATCATATTTTTAATTAATTATTTTTATAATTAATGTATATTTTCGAAATTAATTTCTATTAAGTTAATTAAAATTTTCTATCGTTTTTCATATAAAAAGAATATACATGAATTATTGACTTTTCAATTTTTTCTACAGTTACAAATTTTTAATTACATTTTACTATTATTATTATTATTTTATTACTTTTCATTAATGATATTTTTTTTCTTTTTTCAACAAAGGGGAAATTATTATTATTTTTTTTTTATTCTAAATAGGTATTTAAAAAAAAATTCTTTTGACTAAAATTAATTATAATTTTCATATAACCGAATTTAATTATCGAGAATTTACTTTTAGACGAATTTTAATTTTTTCGAATTATTATTTAACCGAATTTCTATATTACAGAATTGTCACTTAAATAAATTTTTTGTTTTTACAGAAGTTTTATTTTATCGAATTTAAATTTAACAGAATTATTAAATTTTTATAAAAAAAAAAATATTAGAAAGAATTTTTTTCTAGATTTTCAATTGTATGAATTTACATTTGATAGAATTTTATATTTATAAATGCCGACAGAACTTTCAATAATAATTATTGTCAAAATAAATTTTTCTGTGAGATATTTATTTGGATAAATGAAAATTAAATATTCAGCATTATTTAAGAATTAGGTCAAATATAAATTCGAACAAATAAAAATTTGGTTTGAAAAAGAATTTTTTCTATATTATTATTCTTTTTTGTAAAGTATAAAAATTCTTTTAAATGACTATTCTGTTTATTGGAAAATTCGAGGAAATAATTTTATTTAAATATATATAAATGAATAAAAAAAAAATAATAATTTTGTCAAATTCAAATTTGATGGAATAAATTATTAAAATAAAAAAAAAGGAAAATTAGTTTAAGTGATAATTCCGTAATACAAGAAATTCGGTTATAAATGGAAATTGATGTTAAATAATAATTTTATAGAAATCAATATAAAAATTTTTTCTCTTGCTGCTGTTTTCTATATATGTAAAGAAAATGTGATTGTCACACTTTTTTTAGGTTAAAATTTTCATTAAAAAAATAGTACAAAATTCTCATGCAAAAAAAAAAATTATAAATAAATTTGTATTGTAATAAAAAAAACGAACATAAAATCAAAAAAGGTTATAATAGAAAAAATTGTTATATATTTTATTCCAATTTGATGTTTAGAGATAAAAAAAAAATAAAATTACTTTATTTCTATATTCAATTTTTTACATGGAAAATTGGTGAAAATAGGTACATATATATATACCTACATGATTGTGCAAGTAAATTGGATAAAAATATGTGAATATATATATGTTTGATAGCATGACTCAAAGTAAATGATGATTTATCGATTTTTATTATATACTTGACGTGATTATAAGCAGAATATACGTGTAATCTATATAGATAAAATACAATAATCATAAAAAAAATGAAACAATAATTGTTAAAAATTCATAGCGAAAGTATTGACGAAACGCTAAAATATCGAATAATATTTATTAAAAATATTTAATATTAACTGCTGTCTACTACTCTTCAGGCTAATTTATTAAAAAAAAAAAAAAAAAACCAAATTAATACACTGAAAAAAAAAATTTATTTGATTCAAATAATCGGTTACTTGAATCAAATAAATATTTATTTGTATTAAATAATTTATTATTTGAGTCAATTAAATGGTATTTGATTCAAATACAGAAATTATTTCAAATAAAATTTATTTAATTCAAATAAAAATTATTTGATTCAAGTAAATATTTATTTTGATAATAATCAAATAACCGATTATTTGAAATAAATAATTTCTTTTTTTCAGCGTAAGTATATATAAAAATTGATAATAAATAACGTAAAATAAATAATAATAATAATAATTTTCAGTAAACAAAAATTTTCAGTGGAAAAAAATGTTCATTAGTTTCTTTATAAACATTTGTGTAAAATAGTTTTACATTTCGTTTAGTTTAGAAAATATAAAAAAAAATTATTTTCCGCGACAAACGCGCGCGACTCAAGTATTATTGACCGTTTATCGATGCGAACACATCAAGTAAAAAGTTGAATTTAATTTTGTTTTAAAATGTTTATTTAATTATGAGTTTGAAGGAAATTAATTTTTTATAATTTTTTTTTTTTGTTAATAATTTCATTTTTTTTTCTTTCTTTCTTTACTTGTTTATTATACAAAAAGTTACGATTCAAGTTTTTTTTTTTCGTCCATAATTGCAAGACAAATCGTTCATTCAGAAATTGCGGTACTGTCACCTTGTCAAGTAAATTCGATTTTACGAAGCGAGAAAAATACGTTTCCTCCGATGCTTTGTTATAAAAAGAACAATACAAAATAACTGACAACATTCTCATTAAATTTATCTTGACAATTTTTTTAAACCAAAAGGTCATAAACTTTAAAAAAAAAAAATTTCTTTTTGCAAAATACTTTGGAATTTTTAATAACAATTGTTTTTTTTCTGCATTTTTATAAAAGTGGAAAATTTAAAAAAATTAAATTATGTTTTATGTATTGTCATGAGGATAAATATTAAAAAAAAAAAATAAAATAAGTTGAAAAATTTTTATAATTACTGAGTAATAGATAAATTATTATCTAAAAGTGAAATTATTTGAATATTATTTCATATGTAATTAAAACTAGTTGACTTATGAATACTTAAAAACATGAATTAACGAATATGAAAATGAAACAAAATTATTTTAAAAATTATTATGCAATACCTTTTGATTACTAATATGTAATTATTGTCGTACTCCAATTACATTTTGCATATAGCCATATGTTAAATTAATAGATGAAAGGAACCCAAGTCAAAATTATTATTTATGCTGACTCGTATAATTTTCTCCTACAATTATATTTGCCATGTGATTGTCTTTTTTTGAAAAATAAAAAATAATACTCTATATATTTATAAATATCTCCAAATTAGACTATAAAACAAAATAAACTATTTTTAAATATTATTATATTTTTTATTAAATATTATTTACTGAAGTGTACAATTACAATTTTATTAAAATTAAACATAAAAGACAAATTAAAAGAATCAACACTAATAACAATGAATAAAGCAAATTATTATATTATAGATAAAAATGTCGATAATATTCAAATTATTATTCCATAACCTACAATTATTACATTGTTTTGGCCTAATTAAAAAATATTGTTTTAAATTACGATTATTTTAGATATAAAAATGAAAGAAACAAAAGAAAATTAGAGCACCTCATTTGCATCGATTTATAAAACTTTTCTAATCAAATAAAAAAAAAATCTCACTTATCAAAGTTGAAAAAGGTAAATTTGACAAGATTTGAAAAAAAAATTTCCAATGATCACTTTTGAAAGTAATAAATTATTGCCTAGATATATAGAGAATTGAGAAATCTTATCGCTTTGAATAAACCTTTCTCAATAAAGTATAAACTTGAAAAAAAATACACTTAATCCTCACCTTCAGGATCATTAAAAAATCACAGAATTAGCTATTCTCACCTATTGTAAATTGTTCAATTTAAATTGTATAGCAGAAGAAATTATAACTCACCGACTGTGTTGATAATAGTGTTTTTATGCACTTGTTCACATAATCACACGGTGCACACGAGGTTCACGAGCGCGAAAACAAATGACTACTGGAAAGCAACATAAACTGTCAAGTGTTCTTGCCGCCATTTTGGTTTACGGCTCGCACTGGTATGCACAGTGGTGGTTGTTGGTGGTATACAGGTAAGCCATCAGCAGGTGTGTATATGTGTATTAAAACTAAAATTTCTTTATAAGATGGAATTAATTTTCAAAATTATATTACATTTATTGAAGTTATAAATTTTCAAGCTTTTCTATAAACAGAAAATGAATAATTTCTTTTTAAATGTTAATATTTTATTGAAAAAGAAGAACGCTAACTTATCGACTCTCCAGTAGTAATCGACATTTTGAGTCAGACAAAGAAAAAAAAACACATTTTCTTTTTCTCTCTTTTTATGAATTTTATGAAAGTTAATAATAATTATATTATTTGAATGTATTCAATAATTTAATTATTAATTGTTATAGAATTGATAAAAAGAGAGAAAAATAAAATGAGAATTATCAATGGAAAGGAAAAAAGTATATAAATTATGATAAATTTCGCGCTTAAGCGATTTAAGCAGCCTCTGGTAGTAAAAATTTGAACAGAAAATAAGTCGCTAACGTTATCAACTGTGGCCATATATTTTATAATAGTTATTTTACCACGTCCAACGCAAAAAAAAGAAAATATGAAATGTCAAACGCAATAATAGCAGTTGGGAAATATATATCCACGAACATGGTAAATAAAATTATACACAGAAATTTTTTTACATTTTGGGAAACCCAAGAAGCTATATAAAGGCGGTTCTACAATAACTTGCAATCTGTGCTTGAATTTTTCTCTGCATGTGACTTGCGCGCAATAATTTTTAGTTGTCCAAAATTAAATTAATTATAAATAATTGAATAAATTTTGGGGAAAATTTAATTTCAATCACTATAATTGTAATATATTTTTGTAAAAGGGAGCAATATAAAGCTGCTTCCATAATAACTAAATCGGAATCAACTTGAAGATTTTTTTTTTAGTACGTGAAACGATGCGCACATCCATTACCAACTGTCGATAAAAAATTGATTTCACGTGTACTAAAAATTAAAAAAAAAAAAAAAATTTACCAGTGAGGATTTAAAATTTTTATTTTCTTTATATATCAAAGCAAATTTTTTTTTATATTTTCAACAATATTAACAAGCAGAAATTGTAGGAATAGAATTTAAGACGTGAAATTAATTTTTTTTTCGACAGTTGGTAATTGATGCGCGCGCATCGTCTAGTCCTAAAAAAATCGTCTTCAAAACGATTCAATTTAGCTATTGTGGAAGCAGCCTTAGGTTATCGTTCATTTGAGTGATTCCCCGCGTTAAAAATTAAACAAAATTATTCAATACCGTAGATATTGTTTTGTAAAAAAAAAATGCAATTACCCAAAAATGTAAAGTAATTTTAAATTTTCTGTAGGACATGAAAAAACAATTTTTTTTATTAACATTTAATTATAAAAAAAAAAATGTTTAAAATAAAATTTTTAAAAAATATCTACATTTTAAAACGAAAAAACTATTTTTATTTTTAAATTGGTCAACTGAAACTTGAAAAAAAGTTTTTAAAAAAATTAATTCTTTATTATTTTAGTTGGACGATTTTATAGATAATTTTATTTATTAAATGAAATACTTATTATGTAAATTATAATTAAATATAGAAAAATTTATATTAAAACAAGAAAAATATTTGTTCTTTTATTGGATATAAAACTATATATAACCTTTTACAAATAAATTATATATATTTAAATATCTATGATTGTTATTAATTAAAAATTAAAAAAGTTTTTCTAATAATTATTGTAATATTATTAAAAATTTTATCGATCAATTTTAAAATCGTTTACAAAATAAAATTCAAACAAAAAATATTCAACAAAGAAATTTATAAATTTTTTTTTATTTTACAAATTTCTATTTTCTATTTTAACAAATAAAAATTAAAGTTGTATCAGACAATTATAATTTTAAATAACTCTAAAGTATTTACATAAAATCTTTAACTTAATAATTATGTAATTAATAAAAAAAAAAAATACTTTTATAACTGTATATAAATATGGCAAATTTTCGTATTTACTATTTGCAAAACGTTTCTTTGAATTTTCTCCCATAATCAGATCAGATCAAATCAGATTGAGAATCGCTTTCTGGAATTACATTTTTCGTACTTGACACGAATAATGCACAATATCGCCATTTGGATATCTTGCAAATGCGCTGAAAATTTTTTATTGATTAAATAAATAATCGAATAATTTCAAATTATTTCAATTACCTAAGGGGTCAATAAATTATATTTCACCTAAAGTCGTTGCTGTTTTTAGAAAAATGTTAGAATTCGTAATAATAATTTTTTATATCCGTAAAATTTATTTTTAAAATTTTTTTTTTATATATTTACCAAAATTTAAGGTAAAAACACTATTGGTTCTTTGTTTAGAATTAATTTTTTTTTCTTTAATGATTAACTTATTATTAAATTAAATTTATTTGAAACAAATAAATATTTACCTGGATGCAAGTTGGGGATAATAATAATAAAAGTATGAATTTTATTTAAAAATTACGATGCAACGACTTTATTTGAAATATTGTAATATGATCTGGTTTTTTTTTTTAATTAAAAATTTAATAATTCAATATTACTTTAGTTTTTCTAATTTAAAAAAAGAATATATATATATATTATAAATGAAACATACCTTTGATTGCCAAATCTCTTTTTACAAACGGGACATACATTAAATTCAGTCATAAGAACACTTTGTGATTGATAGTGCATTCGTTGTTCTTGAACTTGTAAATGTTCAGCATAAAGAAGGCCCTTTAACACTTGCATTCGTCTTTTTTCATTAATATTATTCTGTAAACTAGCCTCTAAAAAATGTTTTATCCTTCCAATTGGAACATTATCTGGCAAAACTTCAAGAACTTTTAATGGTTTTATTTTTGAAGCATGCTCTTCCAATAATTCCAAAGCTGTTTCTAAATCCGGTTGTGCAGTTCTCTGCATTTCTGGAACGTGACCTGTAGACAATTTTTTTTTTAATTTTCTTTTTTTTAATTTCCATTAAATTTTTAATAAGATTTTTTATAAAACAATTTTCTATTTACCAGCCATCATTAAATCAGAAACTCCATCATTATCGGGTTTTAATAATTGTTGAATAAGCGTTATATGCACCTCATCAGAACCATCTTGTTTATTTATGTCGGCACTGCCTAGACCTAATTGGAAAAAGAAGATAATAATTTTTTTATAAAATATTCTATTAATTAGCGTCAATTTTTTTTATTTTTTTTTTTTGTACTCTTCAATAATAATTTATTATTGAAGAAAAGTATGAATATTCCTCCATATTAAAGCTGTCGGAATTTTTGGTGGCGTCGAATTGAAAATTATCGAATTTTTATTTAGCAGAATTTTATAAAGTGGATTTTACAATAAACCGAATTTTCATATCGAAGAATTTCTATTTAACTAAATACACTAAAATACACCGAATTTTCAAATAATACAATTTCCAATTAAACAGAATTTTGGTCTAGAAAAATTTTCAAACAAAAAATCTTTTTTTATTGAAACAATAAAGCAAAGCACTATAGCTAATTTTTTAGAATTGTGTTTTAATAGAATTTTATTCTATAGAAGAATATTATTTTTACAGAATAGTAATTTCAAAAAGAATCTTAATTTTACAGAAAAAAATTAAACTGAATTTTAATTTTACAGAATTTTTATTAATTTTAATAATTCAAGATTTTGTTATAAAATTCAAAGATTTTCAAGTTCAAAAAAAAAAAAAAATTCAAGGAGTTTTTAAGAATTTGCTTTATAAAAATTCAGTTAAATAGAAAACACATTTTTCAGTTAATAGAAATTCTATTAAAACAGAATTTAATAAAATAGAAATTCTTCGAATTATGAACAGATTTGAAATGTGAGAAATATTCATGCGTCACTTATTTTAAAAAAGAAATAATTCTTACTTTCAAATCTTGCATAAACATTGTTACAATATTGAATTGCCTTTGGGACATCGTTCAATAAATTAATATAAATTGAAATTGCCTGTTTATGACGACCAAGTCTTCCCAATATAATGGCACGTTCCTCAAATAAACATTCATAGGGAAAATCACGTAATACCGTTTCTGGGGTATAGTATATTGATTTTTGTAAAAATTGTTGTAATTTTTGTCTCACGTGTTGGGCAATTTGTTTTTCTGCTGGCGTTGCATTTTCGCTCATTGAAGCTAAACATTTTTCTTTATATTGATGAACCAATACATTATGAAAAAGAGGATTAGTATCTTCCCAAATATAGACAACATGCTCCAAATAAGTTATAACAGTTTCCTTATGAAAACGCAGAAGATAATCGAGAACTTTTGGTCTCGGCAATTGTTCCACTTCCTGTTTTACAAATATTTTTAATTTATTATTTTCAAAAATTAAGTTCAATATTTTTTAAAAATATATTTTTTCAATAATTAACTAATATTTTTCTTATTATTATTATTATTATTATTATTGTTATTATTATTATTATATTATATTATATTATCAGGCCTCGGATTTCACAACTTTTTCGACTTTTTTTTTATTTTTTAAAATTGAATTATTAAAAAAATATATTAACTTGAATTATTTGCAAAATCAATTATTTTTAATAATTTAAAAACAATTTTCAATTGAAAATTCACTAGAATTCAATTATTGTCTACAGTTTTTAAAAAAATTTCACCAATTAAAAATGAAAGTTTCAATTCATAATTTCCTCAAAATCCAATTATTATTTCTAAAAATTTTAACTCAAACTCTTTTAAAATAAAATTATTTCTAAATTTTCTATGTAAAATTATTTAAATTATTGAATAATTTAATTTTAATAATTTTAATCAAGATTTTCGAAAATTCAATTATTTAAAACATTTTTCAATTCAAAATTCTTCAAAGTTTAATTATTGTTTAAAGCTTATAAAATATCTACAAAAATTTCAATTTACGAAAATTTTAATTGAAAATCTTTCTTAATTCAATTAGTTCCAAAAATTTTAACTGTTGATCTTTCAAAACATAATTATTTCTAAAAATTGTAACTTCAATTTCTTTTTCAATTAATTATTTTTCATCATTTTAATGAAGTTTTTCAAAAATTCAATTACATACAACTTTTTTTAATTATGAATTCTTTAAAATTAAATTTTTGTTTATATAATTTTTAAAAAATTTCAATGATTCAACCTTATTAAAATTTTAATTAAAAATTTCAAAAATCAAAAATTCACTTTTTTAAAATATTTTTTCATTGAAAATTCACTATAATTCAATTATTTCTAAAAATGTTATTTCAAATTCTTCGCTAAATTAATTTTTTAAATTACTTTAATACAGTTTTTTAACAATTCAGGGAAATAAAAAGTTTTTTTAAATAAAAATACTCTAAAATTCTATTATTCTTTAAACATTGTAAAAAAAATTTTATCAACTAAAATTTATGATAGTTTCAATTTCAAATTTTCTGAAATTTAATTACTTCCAAAAAAAATTTTAATTCGAACTCTTCCAAATTTAATTAGTAGGTAATTGAATAATTAATTAAATAAAAAATTTTTTTCCCAAATTTTTATCTATATATTATTTAATTAATTATTTCAATAGTTTTAATCCAATTTTTCAAAAATTCAATTATTTAAATAGCTTTTAAATTAATGTTTATTATATTTACAACAAAATTAAAATTTTTGAAATCTCAAAAAATGCAATTATTTCTAAAAATCTTAACTGTAACTCCATCAAAATTCAATTATTTAGAACATATTTCAGTTGAAAATTCTCTAAAATTTAATTATTGTCTGAAAATTGTAAAAAAATTTCATTAATTCAAATTTATAAAAGTTTCTATTGAAACTCTTCTGAAATATAATTATTTCTAAAAATTTTAAATCAAACTTTTTCAAATTCAAAAATTATTTTTAAAATTTTAATTAAAAATCTTCTGAAATTCAATTATTTCACAAATTTTCATTTAAAATTAATTTTTTTTTCAATTATATTTTAATGAAATTCTCCGAAAATTTAATTATTTAAAACATTTTCCGAAATTCTGAATTTTAATAATATGCATAAATCAGAGTGGAAATTTTTTTTTTTTTTTAATTTAAGTTCTTTTGTTTGTTCTGAAACTGAATTGAAATCTTGAAAATTTGTCTCACTTTAATCTTTTGGTTTAAAAAGAAAAATTCTTGAAAATATTTCGGTGAAACATTCTTATTAAGGAATTAATAAATTTTATTTAATTTCTAATAACAAATTTTTTAATAATAATAAAATATTTATCAACTAATTAAATTTTTTGAAAATAAAAAAAGACTTTTTAAATTTTTCTTGTAATGTAAATAGACTAAAATGAGTTTTTTTTTTTTTTTTCTTTCAAACGTCGATCCGAGGCCAACATTTATAAAAATGTAAGACAATAATTTTTAAAAGGAAAAATTTGAATTGAAAATTTCAAAAATTATAATTTTTTATTCTTACCAAAATATCTTCCATGAAAATACGAAGACCTTCTCCTGGATCTTGTTCTAACACCCATCCAGAAAATTTCAATATCAAATCCATATGTTCTCTCCCTAAATGTTGTAAATATTGAATTGTTCGCTCAGTGCCTTTTAGACTAGAATCATTTTCTTTCGATTGCTTTTCCAATAGTTCCAAAGCTTTTTTATGCTGGCCTTTCGTCTGATATAGAATAATGAGTTCCGGATATTTTTGATGCATTATCAAAGTTTTCTCAGCTTCCGCAAGATGACAGTGATTTAATCTCAATAAAGGAGCTACTAATGCATCGTTAGTCTAAAAAAAAGAAATAATGGACAGCTTAATAAATATTATCTTATTTGAATATTTTTTTTTATAATTTAAAAATTTTTCTCTCTTTCCCTCAAAAATAAACTTTATACTTGTTTGGACTTTATAATATAATATAATTGTTAAAAAAATAAGGTGAAATTTAAGAGGAATAATAGTATAAAACTTTAATAGTTTACAATTAAAAATTAAATTTTATCTTTATCTATTTTTAATTTATAAAAATTAAATTAAAGTAAAAAATATTTTATACGGTAAAAAATGTCTTACTTGTAAATAGCATTTCAATAAAGTAGTATCAATTATTTTCAAAAGTTGTTGTGTAGCAACAGCCGTCATATTATTTCCTTTTTCATCTTTTTCTTTACCCTGCGAATGAGTGTCGCCCAATAATTTGTGTCTTACTTCCGTTAAATAAGCAATAAGAGCCAATAAACCATTTTCTAAATCTCTATCTTGAAGTTTTGGTAGACCAGCTACTGATGGTTCATTACTTTCATTGACATTTGCTTGTGACACTAAATCGGGAAATAATCTAATCACTTCGTATGGATCAGTTCCAAGTTTAAGAAATTGTTCCATAGCTTCTTGAAATTTTTTATTATAAAATAGATGATGAGCGTACAATGTTTGTATTTTGTGCGTTTTTTTGGATTTTTCCTCTTCTTTTGTGTCTGAAAGATTCTGTAAATAATAATTACATTTATAAAAACAATGTAATATTTTTTTTTAAAAACACAATTTTTACAATATTGTTATAAATTACCGTTAATTTCAAAGCAAGTTGAAATTGATTTTGCTCAAGTAATGTTCTGATTTGTTGGGCTAAATCGACTGCATTTACACACCATACTTGACTTACTGATGCAACATAAACTCTTCCCTGTTTACATCGATATATAAATCTAGCTTTATTTAATTCTGATATTGTTTGAATATGTTGACAACCTTCTAAAGTATAAACTTCCAATGAATCGTGTACAATACCCAAAAGATATGGATCATCGGATGCTGAATTTTAAATTATTAATTAAAATGTTAATTATAATGCATTAATTAAATATTGAATTTAAATAAAATTCAAAATCACGATTGCCATAAGAATAAAATTTTCAATTTCCCTGACATTAAGATATTTTCTCTTGTTTAAATTTAAAAATTATTTTTTAATTATAAAATAATTGAAATTTTCTTCTACAATTATTTCAAATTTTAATAGAATTTTATTTTTAAAAAAATGCAAATTATCAAAAATCGTAAGTTACGCTTTTTGAAAAAATTTTATTTCATAAAATAATAAATTGCTTTTTACTAAAATTGTTTTTTAATAAAAATTATTTGATAAAATTATTTTTGAAATGTTATTTTTGAAAAATAAATTATTTCTAAAAATTAAAGATTTTTGATAAAAAAAAAAAGAAATAAAATTTAATTTATGGTTTTTTTTAAGGCATAATTAAAATCACGTTGTTTTCCTGGATTTCAAATTTAAATGGACATTTTTTGAATTACAATGATTAAAAAATAATTAACAATACCTATTGAACTTGGAAAATCCGACCATTTAATAGGATTATGTTGCACTAAATCTCCCTTAGTGTCCATAATAATCGATTGAGAATCCTTACCCAAAGCAAAGGAGGTATTTGATAATTTAGTGACACTAGGTTCAGGCGATTTACCAGTGGGAAATAATTCCTTTATGGTACCATTAAAATCCATTAACGTATAGGAAAAGCTACGAAATCCTAAGACAAGAGTTTCACCGCACCTGTGAAATTTTTAATATTTTATTTAAAATCATATATATATGATGTATTCCACGTCAAAGTGAAAATCCATCTGCAATTGCACCTCCGATATTTTTGAGATTTTTCTTATACTTTTAGTACTAATTGAGACTAGCTTCCATGAATTTATTCAAATTTTTTAGCAAGACGTTTTACCTCCCTGAAGTTGGATTCGACGCTCGGCGTCGAAAATTATTTTTCATGGGACCAAAAATATCAAATCATTTTTAAAATCGTTTTGTGTCTACACAATACCTTAAAAAGTATTTCTCAAGGTATTATTTGGACGGAAAATATTTTTAAGAAAATAATGTGACATTTTTGGTCCTTTAAAAACAATTTTTGGCGCTGAGCGTCGACGCCAACTTCATGGAGGTGCCGTTTTCAAGTTATGGAATTTTGAAAATTGGAGAATTTTCATGACTTTTAATTTTTGAATGCTCATAACTTCCTTAAAAATGCATCAATTTTAAAAGTATTTTTTTTTTCGCAAAATGTGTGTTTTTAAACGTACTTTTCAAAAAAAAAAAAAATTGAAAATTTTTTTTAAACGATATTACTATCAAATTTTTGACTTTTAATGATAAAAAGTAATTTTTCTCATTTGACGTACTGATCGATTTTTTTCAAAATTTTTTCAAAAAAACTACTTCTTTTTACGAAACTTTTAAGCCTAGTCCGATAATGGGCAAACAATTTTTACAATATTTTCGGAATTTTTCAAAAATTTTTGAATTTTGAATTTTTTAAAAATATTTTTTGGTTTTTTTTATACTACCCTACTTTTATGTATTTTGATGCGCTGATTACGAAAATCATAGTGACAATATCCAAAAATTTGATTTTTATTGTGAAAATCATAAAAACAAGTCCCAAAATTTGTGGTTTTTTTCGTTTATTGGGTAAAATATGCAAAATTAAAAAAAGAATGGTCAAACAAAAGTTATAGATCTTATTAAAATACATTTTTTATATCTGATGCATTTTTTTTAATTTTGCATATTTTACCCAATAAACGAAAAAAATTGTAAATTTTGGGACTTTCTTATGATTTTCAGCAAAAAATCAAAGTTTTGGATAATGTCACTATGATTTTCGTAATCAGCACATTAAAATACATAAAAGTAGGGTAGTATAAAAAAAAACCAAAAATATTTTTAAAAAATTCAAAATTTTTTGAAAAATGCCGATAATATTGTAAAAATCGTTTGCCCATTATCGGACTAGGCTTAAAAGTTTCGTAAAAAGAAGTAGTTTTTTTGAAAAAATTTTGAAAAAAATCGATTAGTACGTCAAATGAGAAAAATTACTTTTTATCATTAAAACTCAAAAATTTGATAGTAATATCGTTTAAAAAAAATTTTCGATTTTTTTTTTGTTGAAAAGTACGTTTAAAAACACACATTTTGAAAAAAAAGACTATTAAAATTGATGCATTTTTAAGGAAGTTATGAGCATTCAAAAATTAAAAGTCATGAAAATTCTCCAATTTTCAAAATTCCATAATTCGAAAACGTCTTGCTAAAAAATTTAAAAAAATTCATGGAAGCTAGTCTGAATTAATACTAAAAGTAAAAAAAATTTTTTAAAATCGAAGATGCAATTGCAGATGGACTTTCACTTTGGCGTGGAATACATCATATACATTATTTAAACATTTATTATTTTAAAAAAAAAACTCTTACCATGCTAATTCTCTAGGAATGTCAGAAACAGTTAATTCGGTTTTTAAAAAATCTTCAAAACTCTTAATTTTCTCTTTCCAATAGTATAATTGAAGTTTTCTCTTCACTGCAACACATAAACGTACTGTTGTATTTTTTTCACCCGTTAAACTCTCTTGTCGTTGCATATCCAATGCAAAAAGTGTTGCTCCCCGAGTTTTTGGGAGTTGACAAATTTGATGAATTGTTGGTGATTTCAAATCGTGAATACATATTATATTATCTGAAAAAAAATAAGCGACTCTATTTAATACAGGTATATAGAAAAAGAAACCGTAATCAAAACGAAACAATATATTTTCAGAATAAAATCGTAAAATTGTAAAATAATTTTTATTTAATAATCGAAATGTAAAATTTAAAATAAAATTTAAAAATATTTTAGAAAGAAAGTTGTGGAAATAATTTTCAATAAGATCAACGATTTTAGAAGAAAACTTTCTTTAGGAAACATTTTTTTTTTTTTTATAAATTATCGTCTGAAAATAGATAAAAAATAATTGATAGAGGTTTTTTCCATTTGATAACATTTTTTATTTATACTTTTTTTAATAACTGATCATAAACATTAAGAACTTTATAATCATTTAATAATGAACATACCTGTTAATAAAACTAATAAATTATATTCTGGAATCACGTCCACTTGTATAATTCGTTTTTTATTGAAATTTTTGTTATGACCCAATAATTCCAATTTAAGATGATCATGAGATTTTGAGGGAACATTGTACATTAACAAATGCCCTTCTCTTGTTCCAATAAGTAAATTATCATCTACAATAACAAAAAGAAAGTATTAAAAAAAGTTCCGAGACGATTGAAGAAAATCTCCTAAGGATTTCGTTATTGGAAAAAATGTTTAATACAAAAATTGTTCAGGTTAAAAAAATATATTCAAGTAAAATTTAAAGTTTTTAAAATATTAATAAATTTAATTTAATAAATTTTTTTATTTCTATTATACATTGTTATTAGACAAATATTAAAAATATATTTTATTTATTCCAAAATTAAACGGAGATGAATTTTTAAGAATTTCAAAAATTTTAGATTTATTAAAAAAAAAAAAATATGAAAGTTATTTTTCAAAAAAACTCAAGTTTGATTTATGCAAATTATTTATAAATTCAGAATTTTGTCAATGGTTTGAAGTTTAAATGATTAAAAAAAATTTAGTCATTTTTTAAAAATAAAGCTGAAGTACACAACGTTTATGATAAACGATTTTTAAAGAAATAATTTTTTAAAATGAAAAATTCTATAATTTTTTACCCTAAAAAATATTTTTTCTAGTTTTCATTAAAATTAACAAATTATATAAAAAAAAAATTTTTTTGAGGCAAAAAATTATAGAATTTTTTATTTTAAAAAATTATTTCTTTAAAAATCGTTCATCATAAACGTTGAGTACTTTAGCTTCGTTTTTAAAAGTAAGAAATTTTATAGGAAATGAAAGAATTTTTACCACAAAAATGTTTTCAATAATTATTGAATTTTTGGAAGAATTTAATAAAAATTATTTGAATTAAAACAATTGATTAATATTATTGAAAATTATAAACTTGGCAAAGAATTTTAGATAATCTTAAAAATAATTGAGTTTTAAAACTATTACCTACATATTTATAATATTATTATAAAAATAAAGATAAAAATTGAAAAGTAGATTAGATAGAAATGAAAAAAAAAAAAATTTAAAAAGTGCTACAGTCCAGAATTTTAAAATTCATCAAATTTCAAGAGATTTTTAAATTGAAAATTTTGTAAATTTAAAGTGCTGAAGACTTTTTTAACAGAATTTTAGGCAACAATTGAAATTTAGAAAATTGAATATGATTAATTTCGCAAATATTTTTGAGATTCAAATTATTAAAATAATTTAATTTTTTGAAAATTCTACAGTTTGTATTAAAAAAGTCAGAAGTGTTTTGTATTTAATTTAATAAATTAATCAAATTTTTTTAAATTTCATTTTGTAAAATAAATCGAAAAAAATCGCATTTAAAAAAAAAGTCAGAAAAAATGACTCATAAATAAATGAAATTGATGTCTATTACATCCTAGATTAAAAGTTTTATTAATAAATCTAATATATTTTAATATTTAATAATATATAATCTAATATATTTAATATTAAATAATTTGTATCGTAATAAATATTATAAAAACGATAAAAACATAAAAAAGTGAGGTTATATATATTTACCATAAGCTGCAATCGACTCAATTTGAACAGATAATTTTAATATTGCAGTTGCTTCATAAGCATCATGCATTTTTATTTTTTAATATTCACACTACACTTATGTTGAATTTATTTAATTTCATCTAAATATTTGATGTTTTATAGTTAAAGTTTGACGTTTCTAATATATTTCTGTCACAGAAGCAGACGACACATTAGTATCGATTTAAGCGCACTCTTTTAATGGATTTTATAAATTCACTTTGACAATACAATAATATTTTCTGAGCAAAAAAAAAAGACTTTTGTTTATCTTTTATCCTTGTTTATTAATTCATTTTCAACTATATTACAACATGTGGTTATTCTTTCGTAAGACAAGAAAAATTCGTAAGATTTCAATGAGCTTTCCAATTGTACGTGAATCTTTTATTATTTGAGTTTCATAACCTCCTCTATTTTGTTTTTGAATAACGAAAATTTACATATTTAGAGCTAAAAGAAAATATAAAAATTAATAATAACTTGTGGCATTATTGAAAATAATTTTATAATTATATAGTCATGAAAGAAGTTGATAATTCTACAGTTAAAAAAGAAGAGGAAATTGTTGGCAATGGAGAAGTAAGTTTTAACTATTTTAACATTTTTTTGAATAAAAGTATCAATTTAGGAACAATATTTAATAAAAATTCAAATATTATTATTTATTCCATTAATAATAATAATTTGTTAATATTATAAATAAGAGAGCCATTTCATTATATTTCGAGCAAAGTTGTTGTCGACTAATTTCAAAAAAAAAAAAAAAAAAATTATAATAATTTTGTAGGTATCGAGATCACGAAATGAAAAGAATTTTATTATAAATCTTGTTAATGTAAATTTAAAGTTTCTGAGGTGTAGAAAACTCAATTTTTCATCCAGTAGAAAATATTTTTTAAAAAAACTAATTTAACCTTAAAAGTGTATATATTTATTAAAATCAGGTTAAAATTATGAATTTATTATTATTATTATTAATAGAGGGTAAAATATTATTTTAAAATTCGACTATTAAATATAACCTCATCAGAAACTAAAACTTTATTAAAAATCGAATTGTTAACATTTAAAAAAAAAGAAAACAATGTCTTTTGTTCTTTTATTAATTGACCCAGAAATAATTATCTCAACACCTAAATAAATTTTAGTGATTGTTGATAAATTTCAATAATTTTTTTTACGCTTCTATAATAAATATTATGTATTGTATATTAAGTTTTATTGAATATTTTCTGCTGGCTGAAAAACTGAGTTTTCATAATCTCATATACTTAAAATTTATATTTTTAAATATAAAAAAATATTTAAAAATATTAAAATATTAATATTAAAAATATTAAATATTTCCATAAAATTCTTTTAATTTTAATACGAAAAAAAAGTTTATAAAAATATTTTATTACTTAAATTTTGAAAAAAGATTTGATTATTTTGTAATACTAGTAAAAAAAAAAGATCACATGAAATTATTTTCATAAAATAATTATAAACGTGGAAAAAGAACTTAAATTTTTATTTGTTTAAATTTTACTGTTAATACTTTTAAAATTCAACTTCTTCGACAATTTATATTATTTTTCATCGGCAATTTCTTTTACATACTTTCTTTTATGATTCTGAACAATCAATCGTATATGTTTTTTTTGTTTTTAAAATTTTCAATTTAAAGAAAAAAAATTTTTTAACTCTAAAATTGACAAAAATATTTTATTTTTCAAATTTCAATAATTTAGAATAATTTTAAACCTTAAATAATGCGAGAAAAAAAATTAAATAGACAACGTAAATTTTGTAAGGTTAAAATTTTACTGGTCCTTTTTTTTATGAAAATAATTATGTAATCTTTTTTTTTTTTTTTATTTACCTGAATAATAAAGTAATCGAATTTTTTCCAGAACTTTAAGTAATAAAATATTTTTACAATCTATTATCTAAAATTTATTTAACTTAATAATTATATGTATGCTAATTTTTAAATGTACAATTTATAATTGAATATAGTTTTTTTTTGTATCTAATTTTATTTATTCAAATACGAAAATTAAATACACACTGCAAAAAGATTTATTTAATTCAAATAATCAGTCACTTGACTATTAACAAATAAATATTTATTTATATGTGACGCGACGCGAAGAAAGGTACCTAAGAAGCCAAACGGCAATTTTACAGGAGAGGGAAAAGAACAAGCGAGAACGCGGCGCAGAATTTCCGATATCTCTTACTCTCTCTCGTTTCCCACTACTAATTCGAGTTAGCGTCTGTGTATTCGGCCGTCTTCGGCAAGTAAAGAGAGATGCACCTCGTACACGTGCTTTCGTAGTGAGAGAGAACGGTGTAGTCAGCGCATCTCTCTCTAAATCACGAATACCGACCCGAACTTCAAGTGGCGCATGGTTACAGTGAGAGGGGAGCGTAGATATGTGTGCGTGAGGAAAAAGAGAATCAACTCTTAGCACGAATTGTTCATCTTTAAATCGTTATTACAAGAAAAGTATTAGATAAAAATTAATTTTGACTTCAGATAATTGAAAAGCAATCTTTAGTTTATCGAAAACAATCATAATCCGAAATTCGATTTTTGCCTTCTTAGGTACCTTTCTTTGCGTCGCGTCACATATTAAATAATTATTATTTTAGTAAATTAATTGGTATTTTTTTTTGGTAAAATTATTTAGCGACATAACTTTAATTGACGAAGCTGAAGTACGCAACGTTTATGATAAACGATTTTTAAAGAAATAATTTTTTAAAATAAAAAATTCTATAATTTTTTGCTCAAAAAAATATTTTTTTTAAAATTTGTTGATGAAAACTACAAGAAATATTTTTTAGGCAAAAAATTATAGAATTTTTCATTTTAAAAAATTATTTCTTTAAAAATCGTTTATCATAAACGTTGCGTACTTCAGCTTCGTCTTTAATTGAAATTAATAAATTTACAAAAATTGAAATTTATAAAATTTCCTTTGAAAAATTATTTCTTATGTTTATTGTATATAAGAAATTAAAAATATTTTTTTTAGTTAAAAAATTATATATAGTTATAATTTTTTTTAAATTATATATGTTATAATTTTTTTTAAATTATACTACAATTTTGGTTAAAATAAAATAATTGACTTAAAATGAAAACAATTTTTTTAGTTGTGCGTATTTTGTAAGAAATTTTCTTAAAGATTTATTTAAAACATTTTCTAGACAATCTCTTCTATGGAGTCATCGGCTAAAGAAAAATTAAAAGGCTGGTTAAATCGTCTATTTCGTATAAAAATGACAGACGGTCGTGTTTTAACTGGAGCATTTTTATGCACTGATCGTGATGGAAATGTTATATTGGGTTCCTGTACAGAATATCTTTCCGAGGAACATAAAATGACAGAAGCAAGAACTTTAGGTTTAGTTATGGTGCCAGGTCGACATATAGTAACTATTCAATTAGATGCTTAAATTGTGAACAAAAAAAAAATTAATTCGAAAAATTAGTGCTTTAATTATTTTGAAAATAATGTTTAAAGCTAATATTTCTCTAAATCAAAACAAAAAACAAAAAAATTATTACCAAAAATTCACGCATTTGAGGAAAATAAAATTCAATTAGCTTGACATTAATCTTTGTACCGCCATAGAATTAAATAATAATAATAGTAATAATAAAAAGTGTTATAACAAAAATGAATTCTTAATTTTCTTTCTAAAAATTTATTTTTATTAATTTTACAATAATATATTAATTTAATTTTAATTCTTAATTTATATGTCTACTGGTGTTGTAATTTCGACAAAATCAGTTTCTTCTGAATTTAATGGTGGTTCTTTTCTTTTCGATAGATCCACTATTTGAACTGAAAGAATTATTTTCAATTTTTAGTAATTATATTAATTAACTAAATGCTTAATTTTTTTTTTAATGTCAATTATATTTCATCTAAAGTCGTTACGACCTATTTTTCTAATTTTCACAGATTTACAATTCAGATTTTTGAAATTAATTGAACTTCAAGTGATTTTTAATTGAAATTAAAATTTGGATTAAAATTAAAATTAAAATTTTGATAAATTGAAATTCATACAATTTTAAACTTTAAATAATTAATCTTTAAATAGATTAAAATTTCTTTAATTTTAAGTTTCGATCGATTCAATTTGCATTTCATTAAAATTTTAATTCATATTTTGATATAAAAAATTTGAATCGAATAAAATTCAATTAATTTGAAATTTGGATTAATTAAATTGATGGTTAATTAGAATTAGAATTAATTTAAATTTAGATCGATTATAATATTAATCGATAAAATGCTTCAAGTAATTAAAATTTAGATTCATTGAAATTTGGTCTTTGAAAGAGTTAAAGTTGACATTTTTAGAAATGATTGAATTTCAAAAGATTTGGTTAATTTTCAGACAATAATTAAATTTTACAGAACTAAAAATAATTTATCAAATAATTTTAGATAACATTTTTTTTTGAAGTAATTGAATTTTTAAAGATTTACCATTTAGATTTTTAAAATGAATTGAAACTTCAAGTGATTTTTAATTTAAAATTTTTGATGATTTCTGTTATTAAAAAAATTTATTAGACATTGCAGACAAAAATACAATAGTTTGAAAACTTTTACAGTGAAAAATGGTTTTAGATAGTTGAATTTTCGAAGAATATTTTAAAAATCATTAAAAATAATTGAATTTCGGAAGAGTTAAAATTGAAATTCTTAAATTTCAAAAAGTTTTACATGGAAAATTTTAAAAATAATTAAATTTTAAAAGGTTTTAAATTGAAATTTTAGGTAATTTTATTTGATTTTTTTTTTAAATTGTAAACAATTGTTAAATTTCATATTAATTGAAAAATATTTTAAGATAATTGAATTTGTAAAGAATTTCATTAAAATTATTAATTAATTAAAAATAATTAATTAAAAGAAATATTTTTAATCAAAAATTTGTTAAATAATTGAAATAAAGAAAATCTGCATTATATATTAAAAATGACGTATTTTGTTTTAAAATTTTGTAAAAAAAAAATGTAAAAAAGTTACATCTTATTTAAATAAATCGAAAAAAGTCGTATTTTCGAAAAAAAAGTCATAAAATGGCGAAAAAGTCGTATAATCCGAGGCCTGTATAATTAAAAAAAAAAAATTGTAGTTATATTCACTCTATTGCAGAATTATTGAATTTAAAAATCAACAATTTTAAAAAATAAGAAAGACGGACAGTTTTAATTTTTCATTCAAAAATGTTATATTCTTTGATAAAAATATAAAAATTTCCTGATGCTTGTATTATTAAATTTATCGTTTAATTATGTATTCAAAAACGAATTACTTAAAAAATAAATTTTTAAAAATTTTACGTAAGTAAATATAATTTAAAAAAAGAAAACAAATAAATACATAAATGAAAAAAATCGGATTTTTAGAAGCAAATCATAGTTTTTATCAGCTCTGAAATATATAAAAATGTTATTAAATAATTGTCAAAAATTGTTTGGATATCAAAAATAATTATGACGAATAAGATTTTTTTAAAAATAAGCCGCAACGACTTTAGGTGAAATATAATGTATTTGACCCTTAAAAAGTTTTTTTTTTTTTTTGAAATATAATTTCTTACTTTCATCTGGATCATCTTTAGTTTTTAGAATGCATTTTTGTTGAATTACTGTATATTCATCTTCGAGAATTTGATTTTGTTCTATTTCCTTTTGTATATTATTTACTGCATCATCTATCCTTTGACAAAGTGTAGCTGATAAATTGTCCATTCCCGACAAAAAACTAACTTCCGTTGTTGCCACTGCCATTTTTTGAACATATTCAACATATCCAACGAGGCGCTGAAAAATTTATTTAAGTATAGTTTCAATTTTAATTTATTATCAATTAAAATAATTAAATTATCAAAAAATAAAAAAAAAAAATACAATCTTCAAATAAAATAAAACTAAATATTGGTAAAAATTCTTACATTAATTGTTTGTTTCTTTTTTTGCATTTCTCCTCGTATTAGAACAATTACATCCCAATGTTCATCGTTGACTTCTCTTATTAAACTTTCTTGTAATAATGAAATTATATTTGCTAGCAATTTTCTATAAAATATATAATTATAAAAATAATAAATAAGAATTATTTCATACGCTACATAATATTATGTTTTACATTTTTAAAATAATAAATAATTAATTTTACACTATTTCAGAATTTATTAAATTTTTTTGTTTTGAAAATTAATTTTTCTTTTCTATATTTTTATAATTATTTTAATAAAAAAATTTTTTTGAAAGGATAATGAAAAAAAAGAGATTGTTTATTTCTATTTTTTTTTCCTTATATACGAAAAAAATTGTCGAGAAAGTAATTTTGAACATTTTATTAATTTTTTTTTATTGTAAATTATTTTCTTACCTGTATTCTTTACTTACTGCTTCTATTGCACTATAAGTGACAGTTAACGTTTGAGAAGCACTATTTACAGATTCAATTGCTGATTGTTTCATCATATAATCAAATGATAAATTCTTTTTATCCGGAGGTTCCAAATTAATTTTCTCCTCTGAATTTGGTTTTTTAGACGGATCATATTGTATGAAAGATGAACCAATTGCAAACTGTACTTTCAAATAAAAAGCAAATAAAATTATTTTAATAAACACAATTTATATTCTTATATTTATAATAAAAATATTCGAATTAATTTTATGATAAAACTCTTTTATTCACATCTCGTGAAAAAATATAAATATAAATAAGTTAAGAGAACACATTACCCAAATCGGTCGATTTGTTTTAATAAATGAATTTAATATTCGTCGGCACGCCATATTTTAAAAATTATATTTATCTATTTTAAACAATGTTTACAATCATTTTAATGTCATTATTTATTATATGTATATGGATTAGATATATATATATACAATTTTTAAATTTATTACACATCCATGTGACTTTTGGAGGTTAGGTGACTATATAGTTGTCATCATGTGTTTCATAATAATTTAATTTCATACTATATTAAGCAATCAGATTTTCTTTATACAGAATCATTTTTTTTAAATTCCTTTTAATTTCTAATCACAATGTTTTATAGTAAAAGAAAAAAACACAAGTTATCTTGCGGTAAATTTATTTATTTTTTCGTTAATATACACTCACGGTCTAGACTGTATTCTTATACGCATATACTGGGTGTTGAAAAATTACCAATACAATATTATTGATCAACATAAAATTCTAAAAAAAATAATTAAACAATTAAAAAAAGAATATTATAAGCTGAACATTTTCTTTTATATAAAAAAAATAATAAATATAAATTTATATTTTTAAAAAAAATTTATTTTAATAATTCAAAAAATGTTTATTAAGGCCATGTGGTTGGTTGGTTTTGGTTATAATTAAATTAATTATTAAATTCATCCCCGTCTGATTGCTTTTTGTGTGAGCGCGTTTAAGCTCAGATGACGAATGAATCCCGGGACGTAATCCCTAGTGTAGGTAAATTTTCACCCGAATGGAATGTGTAAATGCCATTCGTCAAAATCGTATTATTATTATTATTCTAAAAGAGAAAACGCATTTTTTTTCTATAAATACAATTTATTCACCCCAATCAATAAATAACAAAATTCTTTATAAATCATGAGAGGAATTAATGGAATGGAAAAGTAAATCTAGATTTGTAAGTTTAGTGCATGATTTTGTGTTTTTTTTTTCGCGCGAAAAGAAATTTACAGCAATAATTTGCTGTATCACAGAGAAAAGAGGGAGAGAGAAAGTGAAAAGTAATAATTACAGTCTGATAATGACAATCCCTCTTTTTTTTTTTTTTTAAATCGCAGTATACTGAACACTAGTTTATTTGAGATGTAACATTTTTCTATAACTCTCATGACAAAAACTTGATTAATTTTTTTTTTTTATTTTTTTTTTTTCTGTACATCAGTTTATAGCGTTCAACCCTTTCAGTAAAATATTTCTGAAAGGACAGTCTTTACATTTCTATACGTCTCGCAACACTTTTTATATATATATTTATAGAATAATAATTCCCTATATATTTATTTTATTATCAAATGTAGAAACTATAGAATTATCAACAATAATTGAGGGCTCCGATACAATAAGGAGACGAACGCTCGGCGAATTAATTTATTGCCAGTTAAATGTATAAAAATGTGAATAAAATTAAAATTCGAAATTTTAATTTTTAAAAAGTACTACCCGATAGTAAATGAGGCGCATTATTTGTTCTTTAACATTTTTTTTTGTAAACGAATATTTTAATTAATAAAGATAAAAAACTAAAAATTTTATTTACAAATTTCATTGAATTTTAAAACATTAATTGTCGTATCTTCGGCAATTAATGTTTTAAAATTCAATGAAATTTGTAAATAAAATTTTTACAGTTTTTTTATTTTTAATGACATATTTGGTAATTAAAATATTCGTTTTACAAAAAAAAAAAAAAAAAAAAAAAAAAAATGCGCCTTATTTACTATCGTATAGTACTTTTCAAAAATTAAAATTTCGAATTTTAATTTTATTCACATTTTTTATAAGTTTGACTGTCGAGAAAATAAAACTCGCCGAGCGTTCGTTTCCTTATTGTATATGGGAGCCCTCAATTAAAAGTTGTTTTTAAAAAAATGAATTATTTCACTGATAACAAATTAATATTTTAAAAATTATTTTCGCACATCTCATTCACATGAAATTAAAATTTTTTACCCCTTTAGAGTAATTTCTCACTGAAAGGGTTAATCTTATATGAGTTACTAGAGAGAGGAAACTTGGGCGAAGGGATATTTGTACAATTTATTTTATAAGTATTTTTCTTTTTTTTTTTTTGTCTGCTTTATAAAATATGAGGGAAAACAAAAGCAGACAGATAAAAAGGCAATAAGTACTTTGTAAATTTTGTCTTGATTTTAAAAATCACAATATTGATTAATTCAAACGTGATTGCATCGATTACATTTGATTGTTCTTTTTTTTAAGATCGATTGATTTTAATTCTTTATTTTTTATTTGTTAGGTACTAATTTATAATACTTTTCGAGTAAATCTAATAAAGTAGCATTAAATAAAGAAATAATGTCAATTGATCTTAAATATTTTCTTAATATTATTATTATTATTATTATTAGCATTACTGAAATCAAAAGCAATATTTGCATATATATAAAATTTCCTCTCTTTAGTAATTAATTTACATATGTTATATATTGCAATTCTCATTTATTATAAAAAAAAAACTTATTATCAAATTAAAAGTCTCTAAAACTGCACTCAAAGACATTCGCAAAATCTAACTATTTATTACCTTATAAATAAAATAAAACCGATAAAAAAAAAAAAAAATGCACACTTGTTCGTTTTCAAATTGTTCCTTTTTCATTTGTATAACGAATTTAAGTGAAATAATGTAAAACTTCATGACAATAAAAACAGATAAATTGAAGTTTTGTACATAAATGCATTTCTTTGAATAATTTTTTTATCGGTTTTTCTTTTTTTTTTGTTATCTAAATTTCTCGACATAAAATAAAAGCCATGATGTTAGGGAGTAAAAAAAAAAAATTGTCGATATTATCCTTTTAACTAAATTTTCATTGATGTTATTGAAAATAATTTTTAATCAATTCACTAGAGTTCTTGATGTATAGTTTCTTCTTCTTCATCCGTCTTTTTTTCTTCCGTTGTTGTGTCGCTACTTTCTAAAACTAATTTCTCTTCTTGCGACTCTGTTGAATCGGTTTTTTCACTATTCTCTGGAATTGTTTTTGTTTCTTCAGTCTTATTTTTTTTATCTGATTCTGGAAGTGATTCAGAATTGGAATCTTTTGTTTTATTATTTGCGTTAGTACTGTCAGTTGCATTGACAACTGGTTCTTGTTTAGGTTTCCAAATTTTTGCTTTATTGAGTAAATACTTTACTTCACGATCGAGTAGTGCCATTTTATTAGCCATGTCACGTACTTTAAATGGAACTGGTGCATTTAAAGGGGTTTCGGCAAATGTACGTGTTACTAAATCAAAATAGTCCTGAAAAAAAGAGAAATTTTCTTTTAATTATTTTTTTTTCATTTAGGCCTCAAATCGAATTTAAACAGAGAAAATTAGTTTTAGTCGCTAAAATAAATTTTCAAATTATTTCTTTAGAAAAATGTCAAGTTATTCTTCAGTTATTTAATCAAGTATTCAAAATTATTTAATATCAGCTAACATTAAATAATTATATATATTTAATTATTCAATTAAATTATTGAAATTATCTTCAAATATTCAATCAAATAATTAAAAATATATCTGTAAAAAATTTATTTATTCATTTAATTTAATAATTAATGAAATAATTTAAATTATGTTCAATTCCAATTTTCCATCAATGATTAAAGTTTTAATAGTTTAAAATAATTTAGGTTAATTGAATTTTGCATAAATTGAAACTTACATCAATCAAAATTTAAATAAATTAAAATTCGAATAAATTGAAACTTTAATCAATTAAAAATTGAATAATTTGAAACTAAAGTCAATTAAAATTTGGATAATTTTAAAATTAAGTCAATTAAAATTTGGATAAATTGAAATTCATACAATTTTAAACTTTAAACAATTAATCTTTAAATAGATTAAAATTTCTTTAATTTTAAGTTTCGATTGATTCAATTTGCATTTGATTAAAATTTTAATTCATATTTTGATATAAAAAATTTGAATCGAATAAAAAATTCAATTAATTTGAAATTTGGATTGATTAAATTGATGGTTAATTAGAATTAGAATTAATTTAAATTTAGATTGATTATAATTTTAATCGATAAAATGCTTCTCAAGTAATTTAAATTTAGATTCATTGAAATTTTGCCTTTGAAAGAGTTAAAGTTGAAATTTTTAGAAATGATTGAATTTCAAAAGATTTGGTTAATTTTCAGACAATAATTAAATTTTACAGAACTAAAAATAATTTATCAAATAATTTTAGATAACATTTTTTTAAAATAATTGAATTTTTAAAGATTTACCATTTAGATTTTTAAAATTAATTGAAAAAAAATTTATTAAAAATTGCAGACAAAAATACAATAATTTAAAAACTTTTTCAGTGAAAAATTGTGTTAAATTATTGTTAAATTATTTTTTAAAAATATTTTTGTCTAATTAATGCCTTGGGAAATATTTTTCAATGTATTATGTAGACCCAAAACCTTTTTAACAATAATTTGATATTCTTGATCCCGCCGACTTCATGGAGGAAAATTTTTTTTATTTTTGAAAATAATTATATTTCAATTGATGTTGAATTAAAATTTTGGAAAATAATTGAATTTTAGTTGATTTTAAATTGAAAATTTTGAAAATAATTGAATTTTAGTTGATTTGAAATTGAAATTTTTGAAAATAATTGAATTTTAGTTGATTTGAAATTGAAATTTTTGAAAATAATTGAATTTTAGTTGATTTTGAGTTGAAATTTTTGAAAATAATTGAATTTTAGTTGATTTTGAATTGAAAATTTGGAAAATAATTCAATTTCTATTGAATTTTTTTGATAATAATATTGAAGAATTTATTAGAAATTACAGACAAAAATTGAACTTAAAAATTTTTTTCATTGCAAAATGCTTTCAGATAATTGAATTTTCGAAGAATATTATAAAAAATTATTAAAAATATTTAAAATTTTTGCAAATAATTTAATTTCATGTGATTTTGAATTAAATATTTTTAGTAATTTTATTTGCTAATTTTTTTAAAATTATAAACAATTATTAAATTTCATAAATATTTTAATTGAAAAATAATTTAAGATAATTAAATTTGTGAAGAATTTCATTAAAATTATTAAAAATAATTAATTTAGTGAAGAATTTTAGTTAAAAATTTGTTAAATAATTGAAATAAAAAAAGATCTGTATTGTATCTTAAGAAAACGTATTTTGTTTTAAAATATTGTAAAAAAAATTTTTTTTTAATCGAAAAAGTCGCATTTTATTAAAATAAGTCGAAAAAAGTGGTATTTTTGAAAAAAAAAGTCGGTAAAAGTCGAAAAAGTCAAATAATCCGAGGCCTGGAAATGTTAAAAAAAATTCCTTTTAAACTAATACATTTATAATTTTAATTAATTTATGACTTTTTGTTATTGAGAACAAAGACCTTTTTTATATTAAATGTTAACTGTATTTTAAAAAAAAAAAAAAAATTCAAAAATAGTAAAAAAAATCGTACTTCCGAACCCTTGATTTTTTAAAAAGGAAACATTATAATTGTTCATTTAAAATAATTAATATATATTTTTTTTAAATATCTACCTGTGTCTCATTGATGACTTTATCCAACGTTTCAATTTCGATTTCAGTGAAAATTTCACTGGATTTATTCAAATTGCGCATGTTATGTAAGAATACTCTACTTCCATTTAACATTGATTTCATTCCCTTAATTACTTCAGGTCTCTCTCTATGTTCAAAAACTCTTTCATATAAATCATTTGTTAATGCTTTTAGAGATGCTAATTTTTCTTCATAAACATCTGCAGTTGCATCAAATCCATCTTCGTATAACCATTCAGAAATTTCGGAAGCTGCTTTAATAATTTTTTCACTATCTTCAGGTGTTGTTGCCGCTTTATATTCCTCAGTTTCCAAATGTTGTTGTGCATCAATAACAAATGATTCCAAATTATTTAAAGCTGTTTCACGTCTTGTTCTTTGTTTGTCAAATTCATTTAATGCTTTTATTCTAAGGTACAATAAAAAAAATTTTTTATATAATTATAGGCTCACAATAATCATGAGTAAAAAAAAAGAAATTTATTTTATTGAATTATAATATATAATCAATAAGATTAGTTTAAAAAAATAAGTAAATTTCACATTATTTACACTTACTTTTCAAGTGACGTGATGAATTGATTTTCTTCTAATGGCAAAGGTCCAAATTTAATTTCCTCCGTATCGATTGGTTCCTTTAATGTAATAATTGTGGGTTTCTTTTCTTTGTCAACTTTTTCTGTTTTATTTGTTGATTTATCTTCAGCTGGTTTTGTGTCATTTTTTTTCTTTTCCTTTTCATCGGCTTCCTTCTTTAATCCAGGATATTCAGGTTCCTCGTGCACAGGTTTTATATTTTCTTTCAATGGTTCTTCCACTTTTTCCACTGTCTCTTTATCTTCGGAACCTATGTATTATTGTTATTATTATTATTATTATTATTATTATTATTATTATTATTATTATTATTATTATTATTAAAAATTAAATTTCATAAAATTAGTAAGAATTTATTTTTTATTATTCAGCGTAAATCTTTTAGTTGAAAAATTTAGTATTCTTTTTTTTTTTGATGGACCTTGGAATCCAAAGATAGAAAAATATTTTAAGGTCCATCAAAAAATGAATACTAAATTTACCGTAAACATTGATAAAATTATGTATTTAACATGCATTTTATTTTACCAACAACCAACCTCCAAAGAATTTACTGATTGTCGAACCTAATTTCGAGAAGGTACCTTCTTCTTCTTCAGTAGCCAGGCTTGTTTTCTCCGACACTAATTCCGTGTTAATTAAATGAAGAATTCCACTTTCATCCAAGGAAAAGTGAGCTTTTATTCCTTTACTTTCAGCTGTTTCTTTTGCATGTTTCTCTAAAGCTTGAGAAACTCCTTTCAATTTAATAACTGATATATTTAAATTACCAAGAGCTCTAAAAGAAAAAAAGTGAAAAAATTATTTTTAATATTAAAAAAAAAAAAAAAATTAGGAAATTTTTATTGATAAAATCTTACTTTATTTCTTCAGCTGGCAAATGATCTAAATCAGCATAATTTACATTAAATTCAAAATCTTCAGTATGCTTATTGAATGTGAGAATTTTCTTTTGCGGAAAAGCATTCATTTTATTAAACAATGTTCTCTTCACCTAAAATAGAAAATAAAATTATTTTATTTTTAAATTAAAAATTTTCTAATAGAGTTAAATATCATGTTTTGTATTAAAACTCACTTGTTTCACTTTATTGTTTGCGTTCCTGTCAAAAACAACTTGTATCGGAAATAGTACAGCGTCTTTAGAAATGAATTTTTTGACTTTAAAACCCTGACTGAGATCAGCGGCTTTATAAACTGCTCCTAAAGTAGCTGCTTCATCTGTATTGATATTTTTTGACAATTCAATTTTTACAAATTCAGAGAGCATATCTTGAATTTTTGGTACACGAGTACCAGCACCAACAAGCACCACTTGTGTAATCAAATCCATTGTTAAAGCTAAAAAAGAAAGGGCGAGGGGAAAAATTAGATTTTGATTTCAACAATTCATAATTCAGGCTTCGGTTCGACTTTAGTAAAAAAAAATATTCATTTTAGTCGATTTACTATTCGAAGAAAGAGTCTCAAAAATGTAATTTTTTAAATTTTGATAAAATTAATATAATAAATATTTTCTTTCTATTAGATAACCATTTTTATTAGATGATAAAAAAAAAATTTTTAATAATTCCATATGCATAGGAATTTATCAAGAAATTTTAGTTAGATAATATTTTAAAATTGAATTGAGACAAATTTTCAAGAATTTCAACAATATTTTGTACCGAATTCATTTCAAATGAAACAGACTAAACATCGTCGGAGCAGAAAATCAATTTTTTTTTACCGAAATATTATTTTTTTAAAGCTGTTTAGAGGACATGTATTTTTTTGTTTGGCTGAAAATTTTTTTTTACAAAGTTATAACGAATTTAATTTTTCAAGTCGAAATCGTCGTTTATGTATATCTTAAATTAAAAAAATATTTTACTTTTGTACAAAAGGGCCATGTCTTGTTTATTAATAAATAAATAAATAAATAAAAATTAAGCTGAGACAAATTTTAAAGAAATTAAAAATTTTTTAGATTTATTAAAAAAAATAATGAAACTTATTTTTTAGAAAAAAATTTCAATTCTAATTTATGAAAATTATTTATGAATTCAGAATTTTTGTCAAAGTTTGAAGTTTAAATGGTTAAAAAAAAAGTTCAATCTCTTCTTAAAAAATAAGATACTTTTAAGGAAAACGAGAAAATTTTTAATCTAAAAAGGTTTTAAATAATTGAATTTTTGGAAGAACTTGATGAAAATTATTTAAAATATAATAATTGATTAATGTTATTGAAAATTATTAATTTAAGAAAGAATTTTAGAATATTTTAAAAATAATTGAGTTTTGGAAAAGTTTAAGATTATAATATTTAGGATTTTCAGAAAAAATTGAATTTCAAGAGATTTGAAATTTTTGTAAAATTGAATTGTTAAACATTTTTTTTTTTTTTTACAAATTACAAAAAATAATTGAATAATACATTTTTTTAAAAAATATTTGAAATAATAAAATTTTTTAAAGAACTTTGTTAAAATTATTTTAAAAAATTAATTTGACCAAGAATTTTTGAATAAAAAATAAATGAATTTCAGAAGAGTTAAAGTTCATAATTTTAGAATTAATCAAATTTTAGGAAATTTTGAATTTATTTTAAATGATTATTTATTTGGAATTTATTTTAAATCATTCAATTTTCGAAATATTTTATTAAAATTATTAAAAATAATTAACTTGTCGAAGAATTTTTAATAGAAATTTAAAAAATAATTGAATTTTAGAAGTGCTACAGTCTATAATTTTAAAACTATCAAATTTAGTATAATTAATATAATATAATAAATTTTTCTTTTTATAATTATTTTGATTAGAATCTTATTTTTTATTTTGCACTTAAGATCGATATTTTGTTTCAAATATATAATAAAAAAAAAAAAGATTTAGAACTAAAAATTTTGTAAATTTGAATTTCTAAAGACTTTTTTTTTAAAAGAATTGTAGGCAATAATTGAATTTTTAATTAAAAAATGTTTTAAATAATTGAATTTTATAATAATTTGATTAAAATTATTTGAATTGAAACAATTAATTAATTATTAAAAATTATTAATTTGGAAAATAATTTTAGATCGCGAGGATATCTCGAAAAAGGCAAAGAAAAAAATTGGAAAAAGTCGAACAATTCGAGGCCTGAATTAATTAATTTCTCTCTCTCTCTCTCTCTCTCTCTCTCTCTCTATCTCTCTACTCACCCGATGATTTTAAAGCATCCTTAATAGGATTTAAAGCACGTTCAAATAAATCGGCGCACAATTCCTCTAATTTCTCTCTTGTCACAAGTAATTTAAAATCATGATCATCAATAAGTCCTTCAACTTGTGCATAAAATTCCGAATTTGCACTGAGAATTAATTTTACACGGCCAGCTTCCTTAAAAAGTTTAGCCATTGCACGTGGATTTTTAAATACTGAATTTGATGTTTTTTTCATAGCATCAAATTCAGTTGCAAAATATTCTTGTAATCTTATTTGAAGTTCAATACCGCCAAGTGTACGATCATAACCAACACCCACAATACTAACTTGTGGATGTGTTTCTAAAAATCCTCTCTCTTTTGTCTTAACATTTTGATAGCTAACAATTGTTGCTGTTGTTGTACTTGCACCCATATCATAGAACATAATATAATGTGCTGTATCGTTAATATTTTTACTATGAAAAATACCATAATTTAATGCAACAGCTGAATAATCATTGAATAATTGAAGAACTTTAATACCAGCGAGTTCAGCTGATTTTAAAAGTGCTTTTCTTTCGGCTTGATTGAAAAAACCAGGTACAGTAATAACTGCTTCCTTAATTGTCTGTCCAGCTGATTTTTCAGCCATTTCTTTTGCATGATGAAAAATTTGTGCAAGAAGCTCCTCAGGCGTGTATGTTGTATTTTCATTTAATTGAAACATTATTGTATTACGCTCTTTATCCTCGACAATATTGTGATATGGAAAACGTTTTTTGTACAATTGCACAATTGGATTGTCAATTGTTTTTCCTAATAAATCAAGAATATAGGAGAAACAATATTGGGGAAATCGTACGCCAACAACTTGGGCATCTTCTCCAAATGTTCGTTCTTCATTACGAAATGCAATTGCAACTGGTGTTTTTCTTTTTGATTCTTTATTTAGAGCTATTTCCATTGGCACACCAGGCTGTTAGAAATTATATAATTTAAAATTTTTTTTTTCATAAATTAAATTCTAGTTGCAAAATTTAAAGAAAAATTGGACAAACAACAAAAGTTAGGAGAATTTTTAATATTTTTAAATTTTTAAACAAAATAAAATGCATAAATATTTTTCACATTAGACCTATTGAAATTTTTGTTGTTTCAAATTAAAAATTATCGAATTTTTATTTATTAGAATTTTATAAATATTTCAATTATCAACATCGAAAAATTTCTATTGAACTAAATTTTGATTTATCAATAAAATTTCTATTTACATGAAAATTTATATAGTAGATTGTATAGACTTTTAATAACTAAATTAAAAACATAAAAATTAGTATAGTTGCATAAAATAAACAAACAAAAATTTCACAATTGAATAATTTATCTCAAACAAAAAATGAAACTAAAGTTACCAATGTTGATTCAACGAAAAAAATAAAAGTTAAGGATCCTAATTCCCATCAATAAAATTTGATTATTTTCAATCCTCGAAAATCTGAAATAAAAAAAAAAAAAAACAGTATTTATCATTGTTTTGTCACGGATTTTCAGAAAATCTCGAAATTTCAAGTAAAGTAATTTTCCTGTTTTTTAAAAAGCTTCTAGCATTTAAATAAATAATTATCAAACGAGAAAAATTGCTTCCGAGGCGGGGAAAAAATAATTTTCTTGAAATTTCGGGATTTTCGAAAAATCCGTGACAAAACAATGATAAATACTGTTTTTTTTTTTTATTTCAGATTTTCGAGAGTTGAAAATAATCAAATTTTATTGATGGGAATTAGAATCCTTAACTTTTATTTTTTTCGTTAAATCAACATTGGTAACTGCAGTTTCATAACAAAAAATATAATATTTTGAAATTATTCTTGTCATAAGCAAAAAAAAAAAAAAAAATACAATTTATTCTCATAAATTCTTCAATAATTTGGCAAAGTTTCATAAAAAAATTTATTTTTATTTATTATTCATTAATTAATTAATAAATTAATTTAAAAAATTTATAAAATAAATAGAGATGTTAATACCTAGAAAAAATTAGAGTTTGAGAAAAAAAAAATGGAGAAATAATAATAAAAAAAAACAAAAATTTTAAAAAAATTCGAAGAAATTGAAAGAAAAATAGATAATTTTAGAAATTCCAAAAACGAAGAATTTGAAGGAAAAATTGAAAAAGAATGAAAAAATACGAGAATTTAAAATATGAAAATAGAATTAAAAAATTGAGGAAATACAGCGTTGAAGAAAAGAAAAATTCAAAAAGAAAAATTTGAAGGAAAAATTGAAAAAGAATAAAAAAAAACAGAAGAATTTAGGTAATGAAAATATAATAGAAAAAAAGAAGGAAATAAAATCTTGAAGAAAAGAAAAATTGAGAATTTTATAAATTTCAAAAATAATAAGACACTTTGTGGGAATTTTTTTTTTTTATTTAGAATTATAAACGGATGATAAATTCTTTATAAAGTTTATAGTAAAGAAATTTTTTTTTATGAAAATTTAGAGCAAGTTTGTAAACATAAATAAATTTTAAAAATTCCAAAAAAAGAAGAATTTTAAGGAAAAATTGAAAAAGAATAAAAAAAGAACAACAATTTTAGAAAATAAAAATAAAAGTTATGTAGAAAAAAAAGCAATTAAAAGAAGAAACGGAAAATTTTGATAATTTCAATAAAGAAAATTTCAGGAAAATATTGGAAATTTTTTCCCAGTTTATAAAAATAAATTTTAGAAATTTCCTTTCCAAAGAAAGAAAAATTTGAGGAAAATAATGAAAAAATGAATAGTGATAATTTTGTATTTTTAATAATCAAATTCACAATTTTTTTTCACTGATTAATAAATTTCCAGAAATTTTCCAGTTTTCCCGCAGTTATTAGACACCTTATTTTACAATTTATTTATTTCTTTATTTCATTTTATTTGCAAATTAAAATAATAATTATTTTAAATTTATTATTAAAATTCAAATTTCTCAACAATATAAGAAACAATTTTATCAACATAACCTAAAATTAAACGATCGTTTCTCACACTAAAGAAATTTTTCACATCTTTATCGAAAAATCCTCTGAATCCAATTTTTAACAATTTAAAATATTGAGAATAAAATTTCCCACATTTTTACTAAAAAGGCGGTGAATTTAAAAATGATTTTTTTTCTTTTTATTTTAAAATATTGAAAAATACGAAAATATGAAGGAGTGAATTGACTTTTGTTTTTGAATGTCTGTCCCATTTTTCCATTAAAAAAAAGAAAAAAAGAAAAAAAAAAGATATGAAAATAAAAATATCTAATTAATTAAATTAATAACTTTTTTCGTTCAATTAAAAATTGGAATTTGTTTATCAAATTTTTAAAATACAAACATTAACAAATTTTAATAAAATATTTAATGTAAGTAATTACAATTAAAATAATGTAATTTTAAATAATTGTAAATAAAATAAAAAGAAATTTATAACTACTTTGAAATAAATGAACTAAAATTGTTTTTTTTTTTATTTCCAAAAGTTACGTATGGCTAAATATATAGTTAAAAAATTATTTGACGCATGGTTTTGTCGCAGTATGGCTACAATAAAAATTTCAAGTTCTTTTTTTTCGAAAATAGAAAAAATTGCTACAGGGACAAAAAGTGAATTTTTCATGAAAATTGAATTTTAATTAATTAATAACACTTACCGAGACAATAGCAACTTTAAACCATTCACTGCCAATATCAACACTCATAACAGCCAATCCATAGCTTTTGCCAAATAACAAGAATATTGTGAATAAAGATAAAGCAATAAGTGAAATATTTTTCGACTTCATTGTGATCTGTAATAAATAAAAAGATAAATTTTTTTAAAGTCAAACGTAAATAAAACGATTAGGCTATAAAATGTATCCATAAGCAATGTTAACTGTCATGCTGTCAAAATTTGGTTATAATACCGGTGGTTTGATTTTTGTAATTCGTTAAATATTAAGAAATATTTTTTCCTTACCTTTGTATTTTTTTATGATACACTTACAAAAAAAAAAAAAAAAATTATAATAAAATTAATAAACTCTCTTTCCAATCATTAGAACTAAATAAATTTATATACTATAAACTTATGTGGCTGAAAACAGAGATTCACACAGAAATTGTCTGTTCTAGGGATCTGTCGGCTGCAATGAAACATGTGTTTGTGTGGCAAAAGCTGATTGGTACCTCTATACCAGATGCGACTTCCCTATTGGTCCGCGTTGACAAATAATTCTGCCCAGATATTACAAAATTTGTTGATATTTCAAATTTTCATTTCTTTTTTTTTTTAATAATTATTATTATTTTGATCATTAAAAAAAAAATTTCTAGTTTGTATTTAAAACTTACTGGTTTTTTTTTAAATTATAAAATAGATATTATCATACTGTAAAATTAATTCAGTTTTTAATTATAATTTTTTTTTTGTAAATTAAAATTTTTAATAAACAGTTTTTATTAATAAATATTATTATGCAATAAAGTTTGTTTACAATTTGTTCGATTTATAAACTTAAATTAAAAAATGCAATTTAAGTAGAATTTTAATTATATAAGTATTACATTTAATTTAATTTAAGAAAAAATTTTATTAACAAAGAAATTTTAATTTAAAAACATCTGAGCTTAATTATAAGATGATTTATAATTTTAATTCTTTTTGATACAAAAAATTACGAAAACCTTAAAATTCTTCAATTATATAATAGTTTTTAATTAAAAATAAAACGTATTGAATCAAAAAAATATTTTTCTATAAATAATTTATATTACAATTAAATTAAAATTAATTTAAGTGAGAAATGTCATTTGTTTAAATTTTTCAAAGTAACAAAATATATAGATTTATCAATTTTTGAAAACTTACTTCTCATTTACAGGATTTACAGTAAATTTTTTGTATTTTTTTTTTTTTTTTATTTATCATTTTAATTATTTTGCTTGTTCATTCAATTTAATTAAGTAAGCATTTTTTAAAAAAATTTGTAAAGTAAATTTTTTCTTTTAATCTTATTTTTTATTTGAAGAAGACAAAATAATTTGTTTAATATGAAGTCATAAAGACTTTATTTTCATGTGAATTAATACAAAGCGTATAATTTATAAATTAATTTTTATACAATTGAATATTACTAAATATTATCAGTATACTTATGTAATAATGACACACATATATATATGTACGCAATTTTAGTATATTATTATTATTATTATTTTATAAACTTAGAAGTACAAAATTTAATTAAGTCATTTATATAATAATTTTTATTGCTAAACATTTAACAAGGTAAAAGAAAATTAATTCCAATTGTCTTCAGTGCGGCCAAATTTAAAGGTCAATGAACCCAAGAAAATGAACACGTTTTGTAAAAATAGACCTACTCCAGGCCAATTATGTTTGTCACCTGTAAAAAAAAATTGTAGAAAATATTTTAAATCAACTTTAAAATCTAATGATAAAATTCAATTTTAATTTTATTAAAATATAAATTTATAAAATAGTAAAAATATAGTAAAAAAAAAATCCCTTAAAATAAAAAAAAATAAATAAAATATTACGGAAAACTATCACTTTTTTATAACAATTAAAAAATAAATAAAAAACATTGAATAATTCATAAAAGTATAAAAATAATAATTATTTATTTTTTAGAATTAATTTATTATTGTTTAAAGATTAAAGTACTAAATTCCTAAATTTATATTTATTTAGAGAACACAAAATTACAAATTTTCATCTTTTTTTTATGATTCAATTGACCCAAGCTTGAATTTACCAAATTTATCATCGATTTAAAAATTGTTTACGACAAATTTCAATATATATTTTAAATTTAAATTAGTTGAAGTATTATTATTAATTAAAATTGTAATCGATCTAAATTTAAATTAATTCTAATTTTAATCAACCATAAATTTTATTAGTCCAAAATTTAAGTTATCCAAATTTGAATCTGTTTTAAATTTTAATTCATTCAAATTTCAATTTATATAAAATTTTATTCGCGATTAAAATTTTAATTAATGTAAATTTTAATAGATTCTAAATTTTAATTTCAATAACAAATTATCCAACTTTCAATTGTAATTTTTATTGATCAAAACAAATTTATTAATTAAAATTTTGATCAAATACAAATTGAATCAATCAAATCTTAAAATTAACAAAATTTTGATTTATTCAAAATTTAATTTACCCAATTTTTTTAACTACTAATACTTCAATCTTTATTTTAAAAAATTTCAATTATTCTTAATTTTAATAGATTCAAATTAGTTTTTTTTTTCGTTAAATAATTCAACTTCTCACCTATTTCCAAAAAAAAAAAAAGATACTGTGATTAAGGACGTTTGTACCATCCAGAAAAAAATATTTAATTAACGTTTAAAAAATTAAAATCTTATTATTAATAATCTCCACTTAAAGAACAGTTATCAATATTAATGAAAAAAATTTATAATTGTCGAAAATTGCAAAATTAGGTTATTTGACAAACGAACTTTGAAAACATATTTTATTCCTTATTTAAATTTTCTACTACTAATTAAGGACGTTTATCGACGAAAATGCAGACCTCTAAAAAAAAAATAATTAACTAAAATAATATTATTAATATTGTACTTTTTGAAAGATGAGATATCAATTTTTAAGAAAAAAATTTGAAACCTACAAAATTTATTTGTTTATACAATTTGCATAGGATAAAATTTTTTTGTTTTATCGCTTCTACAGAATTTTTTAAAAATGATTCGATTTCAATGAAATATGACTTATTTTCTTCAGATAATTATTATCTACAATTTCATCGTGGGGATTTTCAAACAAGCAATCCAAATTTTTCTTTTAAACAAATAACTATAATTTACAAACGGATTGCTTGTTTAAAAATCCCCACGGTGAAATTGTAGATAATATTCTTCTGAAAAAAATAATTCTTATTACATTGAAATCAAATAATTTTTAAAAAATTCTGTAGAAGCGATATAACAAAAAAATTTTATCCTATATGCAAATTGTATAAACAAATAAATTTTGTAGGTTTCAAATTTTTTTTCTTGAAAATTAATATCTCATCTTTCAGAACAGTACAATTAATAATCCCCATGAATTTGGCGTCGACGCTCAGCGCCGAAAATTGTTTTTCACAGAACCAAAAATGTGAAATTATTTTTTTTGTTTTTAATTTTCGCTTTAAATAATGCCTTGAGAAATACTTTTCAAGTTATTATGTGGAACCAAAATCTTTTTCATAAAAATAATTGAATATTTTTGGTCCTGTGAAAAATAATTTTCCACGCTGAGCATCGACGCCAACTTCATTGAAGTAATTAATAATAATTATTTTATTTATTTAAATGTTAATTAATTATTTTTTCTAGAGTTCTGCATTTCGTTCCCTAGATATCATAAAAAATTTCTGAAAGTATCAATTTTTTTTTAAATTAGTCCGCAACGACTTTATTCAAAATAAATAATTATCTGAGCTAGAAGAAAAATAGTTTTTTTTCTTAAATTTTCTATATAATGAAAGTGATTAGTTTTTTTTTTGTTTGCATTTTTTTCTTTTCGGAAAAAAATTATTTAAATGATACTAACCAATTGTAACATAATTTGCGAATAAAATCCAACAAGCTGCAATAACTGCAGCAAATCCCATTGCAAATCCAATAAGAAGCCAACCTCTTGCTCCTCTTGTACCTAAGCAGCCACCATTGTAATTATCTCCTCTCATTTGAGCATTCGTTACTGAATTGACCCTAAAGTAAATTAAAAAAAAAAGGATTTTAACCATTTGAATAAAATAATTAAAAAAGTGAGCTGTAAATAATTTATTTATTTTATAGTCTCTTCTAATATGAACATTTAAAAAATGGTCAAAAAAATAAAATATTGGAAATGCAGAATATATTTTTTTATTTATTTGATATGAATAAATTTCATTATAAATTTAAGGTGATTTTTTATATTGCGTTCGACATTTTGAGGAATTTTTTTTTATATATTTCCTTTAAAAAAAAAAAAAATAAAAAAAAAATTATATAAAAATAAGTAACTGAACATTTTTAATAAAATAGTCAAACTCAATCAAAATGTCCGCAAAAATCAATTATTTTTAGTTTTTAGTTATTTTGAAAAAAGCATTTTCGGCACTAAAAAAATTTTTTCTTCATAAAAGCTATTAATAGTAAGCGATGTTAAAAAAAATAAATATGAGAAAACTAAGATCTTTTCATTTTTACTTACATAAAAAAAGATAACGTTCCAAATATTCCACATAAATGATAAGCTCCATTCAGTTCAGACGGGAATTTTGCATTAGCATCAATAATAATCCACCATCCTGTAAAAAACTACAAAAAAAAAAAAAAATAATAATAATAATACAATTATAATTTGTAAAAATACATTATATCTAATTTCATGCACATTATTAAAAAAATGCAAATAAATAATTAGAAAAAAAATTAAATTAAATTAGACGATATCAATTATTGTAAAATTAATAATAATAATAATTAAAAGTTAATTTAATTTTCAAACAAATATCGCAAATTAATGACAAATAAATTCTTATTAAAATTTAATTTTTATATTATAAATAAATGAAATACAGTCCCTACTTTTTTTGTATATAGAAAATAAACAATAATTTAAAATATAACCTAAAAAAATATTACTACTCTAGTATGTTGATAAAAATTACATTTATTGACAATAACTATTAGTGTCATTAGTTTGAAAAAAAACTAAATAAATAGAAATAAATATTTTTTTAATATAAATAAATTTTGAATTTCTTTAAAATATTTTTTTAAAAGAAAGAAAAGATAAACAAATAGAAAATTTTCACACCAAGACTCCTGCAATCATTGAAACTACGGCATTTCTTTTTTCTTCACTTTCAAACCATATACAAGGTGGAATTTGTATATTTTCTAAACAAGAAGTCATTTTGTTTAATAATTTTAATATAAAATATTATAAAAAATTGACTGAGATAACAGTAGGGCAGAAAATGACAGTTCTAAAAATAACTTTATAATAGAATGTAATCATTTGAAAATTTTCAATAGATGCCCTTTTAGTGGCAACGGTGGCTACATTGTACCAGTAGCAAAATTCAGGTATGTATCGAACACTACTTTACCAACTAACGATAAATAAAATAAAAAGTATATAATATATATATATATATATGTATACTATAGCCACTCGTCTCACAGTTAGTATAGTACGGGTTTCCCCTAAAAATATTACTTTATAAGAAAAATTTTATTTTACAATGTACGCGGGATTGTAATAAAAGTGGAATATTTTAATCAAAATTTTATCACTGAAGAGTATATATAGGTATAATAATTATTGAATTTCAAAATTGAAGACCACTAAAATCTTGTCGGTAAATTTTTTTAGGTTATGTTTACGTTTTGCGTTTAAACGCTTTCCTATTTGCAATACTTATTATCTCCTTATTCCTTAATGTTAGTTAAGTATAGAATTCGTATTTCGATAAAATTTATTAAAATATATAAAAAAAAATTGTATTTATTTACCAATATATGAACACAGTATAATTATTTTGTTTAAAATTGAAATGCCATTTCGATGGTCTATTTTATTAAATTACAATTCGTTATAAATTAAAAATTCTTTCATGCAGACATTACGTGAATATTAATAACGCTGTGTCTATTTAGCCCGCTAACGGGAGGAATAGTGGAGATAGATTATTTAGCCCGCCAGCGGGAGGAATAGTGATGATAGATTATTTAGCCCGCTAGCGGGAGAAATGCAAGATTTTGGCTATTTAGCCCGCTTATTTTTAAAAAATCATCAAAATGAGAACTATTTAGTTTGCAGTAAGTATTTAAAATATTTTTTATTTTTATTTATTTATTCTAGAATAATAAAATATATTTTATTATATATAATGTATATTAAGTGCAATTAAAAATAAGGCAATCGTTTATTTAAATATATTAATGTGATTTAATACAAAGTTGATTTGCTCCAAAATGAATTGTTTCGGTAGGGTTGCTTAATTTAAATAATTGTTTAATTAAAGTTGTGGTAAAAAAACAATTTTTTGTTTAAAACTTTATTGTAAGAAAACTATTTAACTACAGGTACATTTATTTTCTAATAAATTATTAGAAAATAGTTTATGAAATTATTTTCTATTGAAACTTTAAATTTCCAAATAAAAATTAATTTTTGAAATACAATTAAAATTCTTATATTTTATAAATACGTATAGGGCATTCCACGGGAAATTTTCATTCAAAATTTTTTTTGTCCGAATCATTTTTTTTCGTAATCTATATGAAAAATAAGAAAATACGTATTTTTTTATTTGATGAAAATGAAGGATAAAAGGATAAAATTAAAGTTACCAACGTTGATTCAACGAAAAAAATAAAAGTTAAGGATTCTAATTCCCATCAAAGAAATTTATTTATTTTCAACCCTCCATAAACTATTCTCTAATAATTTATTAGAAAATAAATATACCTATAGTTAAACAGTTTTCTTACAATAAATTCGGTTTAAACAAAAAATTGTTTCTTTACCACAACTTTAATTAAATAATTAATTAAATTAAACAACCCTACCAAAACAATTCATTTTGGAGCAAATAAACTTTGTGTTAAATCACATTAATATATTTAAATAAACGATTGCCTTATTTTTAATTGCACTTAATATACATTTTATATAATAAAATATATTTTATTATTCTAGAATAAATGAATAAAAATAAAAAATATTATAAATACTTACTGCAAACTAAATAGTTCTCATTTTGATGATTTTTTAAAAATAAGCGGGCTAAATAGCCAAAATCTTGCATTTCTCCCGCTAGCGGGCTAAATAATCTATCATCACTATTTCTCCCGCTAGCGGGCTAAATAATCTATCATCACTATTCCTCCCGCTGGCGGGCTAAATAATCTATCTCCACTATTCCTCCCGTTAGCGGGCTAAATAGACACAGCGTATTAATAATTGGGTTAGTCCACTGACTTTCGTCTAATAGTGGTTGCGACCAAATTTTAAAAAAATCTAGTTTTAATATATGTGAAACTCGATGATTCCCTGAGTTCATTAACCATAATATTATGGTAAAAATTTTATTCCCTTTAAAAATATTAAATATCAAAAGTAGGAGGTTCACAATGTGATTTTGTAACCTTAAATTTTTCAATTTTTTTAAAAACGCTATTATTAAAAAACTATTAAAAATTAGATGTTGGAACTCACCAAAAACATAAATCACTTTCTTTCGCACAGAGGAACGAAAGAATTATTGCAAAAATTTATTATTTTTGGATGATATACGATTTTTAAAAAAATTTTATTTAAATATTCTCAAGATTTTTCTTTACTTATAACTTTTTTGTCGGTGCTCCGAAAAAATTGAGGTTTTGCACAAATAATACATTATTTTACTATTTATTGCTTTATTTTTATTATTTTTGCGTTATGTTATAGTAAATGTGAAGAACAGCGAGATTCCTTGCACCAAACGCAAACATTTTTCCAAAATTTTAACCCGAAATCATTTTTTATTTCAGAGAAAGTTTCAAACCACGAAAAAACGTCCTTTGCCCACATACCCTTAAGCCGCTTACGAGATATGAATTTTTCAAAATTGGAGAATTTTAATCATTTTTTTTATTTTTGAATGCTCATAACTTCCTTAACAATGGATCAATTTAAAAATTTTGTTTTTCAAAATGTATGTTTTTAACTCAACTTTTCAAAAATTTCATGCCTAGACCGATCGTGGGGGAATAATTTTTTCAATATTTTCAAAAATTTTAGTTTTGAATTTTTTAAAAATATCTCCGGTTTTGTTTTATACTACGTACTTTCATGTATTTTGATGCGCTGATTACGAAAATCATAGTGACAATACTAAAAAATTTGATTTTTATGGTAAAAACCATAAAAAAGTCCTAAAATTTATGTTTTTATGGGTTTTACCATAAAAATCAAATTTTTGGGTATTGTCACTATGATTTTCGTAATCAGCGCATCAAAATACATGAAAGTACGTAATATAAAACAAAACCGGAGATATTTTAAAAAAATTCAAAATTTTCTAAAATTTTTGAAAATATTGAAAAAATTGTTTCCCCACGATCGGACTAGGCTTAAAATTTTTTAAAGAAGAAGTTGCTTTTTTGAAAATTTTTTGAAAAAAATCGAAAGATACAAACAGTTTTAAAAGCAATGTTTTAACCTTTAAATTACAAATAATATAGTAAATTATAATTTTTTGCATGAAATTTTTGAAAAGTTGAGTTAAAAACACACATTTTGAAATTTTTTTTTTTTTAATTTATCCATTTTTAAGGAAGTTATGAGCATTCAAAAATAAAAAAGGATTAAAAAGTCTCCAATTTTGAAAAATTCATATCTCGTAAGCGGCTTGATGAAAAAATTTGAAAAAAATCATGAAGCTTTTTTTTGGGGGGTAAAAAATAGTAAAAAAATTTGAGCCAAATCGAAGAGGTCAATGTCGACGATATAATATTGATTTGGCATGGACCGTCCCATATGTACAATAATTAAAATATAAATTATATTAAATTATTGATAATAGTAATTTTTTAAAGAGAATTTTTTTTTTTATTTAAATCTTCACTGTAGCAGTACCCATTAAGGGATTTCTGAATAATCAGGCCAATTTTCTAGTGGATTTTTTTTCATTGCTGGAAAAATTTTTGCATCTCTCCACTGCCAAATGCGATCCTTAGTCTTATCTTCCTCATATTCTAAGCATCTAACACCAGAAAGTGATCTGAAATTTTTAAATATTTTCAAACATGAAAATAATAAAAATTCTTTAAAACCATAATTAAAAAAAAATAAATACAAATTAAAAATTTATTCATATAAAAGTAGAAAAATAATAATTTAAATAATAATTACAGTTCATTTAATTTGCAAGAAGCTGGATGATCTTCTTTAAAGCATTGTGGTCGTAAAACATTAAAATATGTTTTTCCTATGCTTAATGAAATTGGAGATCGAGCTTTTTTTAAACAATCGTGAAATTCTTCGTCACAAGTGCAATGTGACCTGAAAAATATTTAAATCAAGATTAAAAAATGATTTTCTTTTCAAAAAGTGCGCTTATTAGGTAATTTTTTTAATTAATCAATGAATTAAAATTTTCATCAATATCAATTTCGTTAGATTTTTTGACGCCTTTTCGATTGGTAAAATGCATTTTTAGAAAAAAAAAATTTTCTTATCTATAAATAATGTCTTTATAGAAAAAAGCTCAATTTTCGTTAATAAACGTATTAAACCAATCTAAGAATTTTTAATTTTTAACTTGGACGATTGATTCCGTATTATAAAATATATATAATGTTTATTGCGATAGCATACCTTACAAAGAGACCGATATTACCAAGTCCATAACTTATAGTACCGGGAAAAATTTTTATTTGACAATTGTCATGATTTCTACAACAATCATCAGTTGCTTTAAAATATCCTAATTCCTCTTCACTTTTTGCAACATCTCCAGCTCCACACCATAGAGTTCCTAAAAATTATTTCATATTTCCATAAAATATTTTAGTTTATTTTATATTTATAATTTTAAAATTATTTTTTTTTCATTTAATGATATCTATAATTTTTGAGAGAAAAAATTTCAATTTTAGAAAAAAAATCTTAAATCAAAAAGAAGAATTTCAATTAAAAATGAATGATTAAAATTTTTTTATATGAATATTCATAAATTGAAAAGAAAATTTAATATTAATTTTCGAACGGAATATTCTTTTCATTTTGAGATTTTATTTTTTTTCTCGATGAATGGATTGAATTTCAAACAAATAATTTTTATTTTCATAATTTGTTACATATAGTTATTCATATAAATAATACATAAATACCTGGAAAAATTCCACGAAATCTGCCTTTAGCTTTGTTGAATTTTTTTTTAACTTCAGTATCGTTGGATGGAGGAGAAATAAAATTACCAAATAATTCTTTAAATAGTGTTTCCGCGTATGTTATTGTACAAAGTGTCCCATTGCTCGTTGTATTATTACATTTTACTAACTCGTTTAGTAAAAATAATTTTAATAAAATGAAAAGAAAATTTTTCAACATCTTTGAAAATTTATATATTATTTACAACTTTATTAAAAAAAATTTAATTTAACTATAAAATAAATAACATGGATATAAGTCGTAAAATAAAACCTAAAATATATAATTAAATATTTGAAAAATTATAATAAACAACGATTTGGTTATAAGATTATAATAATACATTAAAAATCAGAATTTTTAAATTGAAAAACTTTATATTACTAAATTTGAATTAATCGTAAATTAAATTTGTTAAGAAAAATTGAAATAGAATTTTTAAAAATATTTTATGATGTTAAATCTCAATTTTCTTACCTTTTAATAATTCAATGAAACCATTTTATTACATAAAATGCTTATTTATTGGTAAATATAGATTTATCATTCAATACAATTATATATAATATATTTGTTGTGATTAATTTAATATAATGTTTTGAATATAGTAATTAATGTTTTAATAATTAAGAAATATTGTTTATATTTCTAAAAATTGACGTCTTTGCTCTTATAGCAAACACAATGACTAATGTGTGAGACGAGATAAAAATAGTATATTTTAAGATAAAACTATGACGCCACTATATTGTATAAGATTATGTAAATTTTCTAATATTTTAATCAACTTTGTAAAGTAAAAAGATAATTTATTGTAAAACGAGTTTGATTGAAAATAATAAAAAATAAAAAAAAAAAAAAATGAAATCTTATAAATCAAAAAGATTCATATTAAAGAATTAAAATTAATGAAAAATTGTGAATAAAATGTCGAGTCAAAACGGAATTTCTTTATGAAATTGTGAGACATTAAAAAAAATTTTTATGACCAATCGAAAAGTCGTTAAATTCTCTTTCGAAATAGTGTGTAACATTATACATATAAATCATTTATTTTTTATATAAAAAAAAATTAACTTAAAAAACGCTCTGCTATAGCGATCATCTTTTAAAGGTGGAACGGTTTGAGATAGAATGCCTCTTATTCATATAAAAAATTGTATTATATAGTCTTTATTAATAATATTCTCTAAGGAAATTCTGAATAATCCGGCCAATTTTCGAGAGGATTTTTTTTTATTGATGGAAATATTTTTGCATCTCTCCACTGCCAAACACGATCCTTAGCCATATCTTCTTCATATTCTAAGCATCTAACGCCAAAAAGTGATCTAAAATTTTTAATCATAAATGTCCAATTTCTTTATATAAAATTTAAAATAAACAAAAAATTAAATATAAATTTTAAAAAATGCAATATATATATATATATATATATATATATACACATAAATATATAATAATTACAATTCATTTAATTTGCAAGAAGCTGGATAATCTAATTTGAAGCATTGTAGTCGCAAAATATTAAAATATGTTTTTCCAATGCTTAATGAAATTGGGGATCGAGCTTTTTTTAAACATTCGTGAAATTCTTCGTCACAAGTGCAATGTGATCTAAAAGAAAAAAGAAATTGTTAAACAAAATTATAAAACGAATATTATACAAAATATACAAATTGATTGATATCATGTACCTTACAAAATGACCGACATTAAAGAGCCCATAACTTATGTGACCAGGGAAAATGTTTATTTGACAATTGTCATGATTTCTACAACAATCATCAGTTGCTTTAAAATATCCTAATTCCTCTTCATTTTTTGCAATATCTCCATCTCCACACCAAAGTGTTCCTAAGAATTTATTGCATATTTCCATAAATTATTTTATAATTAAAAATATTACTGAATATTAATATGATTTTCAATTATAGGTACTTTAATTTTAATTATTTTATACTAAAACAAAGCATTTGAATACCATTATTTTTAATTAGTGACAAACTTTTTTTATGAACTAATTAAAATTTACCAATAAATTAATAGAAATAATTGAACGATTAAACGAACTTACCAAGTGAAGTTCTATCGTAATTGTATTCCGCGCCTCCTTCGAAAGATCATCAATTGTAGTAGTACCCTAGTCTTCATGCCGATGGAGCCACAAGGTTTACAGTAAAAAAGAAATCTTACTGTAACACGGTCCGCGGAATCTGGTCTGGTTTCATTTTTTCAAAGTATTGCCGTACATAAATTAATAGGGAATGAAATGTGGGTAATTTAAATGGGTGGGAGTGATCTTTTGAAGGAGGCGCTTCATACAATTACGATAGAACTTCACTTGGAAAGTTCGTTTAATCGGTCAATTGTATTCCGCGCCTCCTTCTCAGATCACCAATTGTAGATGTTCAAAGAAGTGTGCGGCAATTTGGTTTTGAACTGTGTTTTGAGAAATTAAGTATTTAAAGATTGTAAATGAAAGAATAATTATTTATTGAAAAGTTATATAACTATATAAATATAATGAACATTTTTTTTTTTTGCAGATAGGTAACTTACTTTATTTTTTAACCCGTTCTAAAATAGCTTCAGCAAAGCTAACGGGGTTTTCGTTTATATTTAAATCGTAGAATTTTGCGAAAGTTGCTGATGCTGGTGTCCATCCAGCAGTTTTCTTAATTAAATCGATGTTTACGCCACTATTTTTGGCTGTTGATGTAGAAGCGTGACGAGTGCTGTGTGCGGAAAATTCTGTAATATCAATTCCGCTTTTTTCCATGACGTTTTTGATCCACCGACTTAGTGATTGAGTTATTATAGTCTTATGCGGTTTTTAGTACGAAATGAAAAGTTGGTTGATTTCTTCTCGCAGTGAGCTTGTTCGTTCGATGTATGCTTCTAATGTAGTGGCAACACATACTCTTGGGTCGTCAGGAAAATACGGTATAATCAAATTTGGTTGAGGTCGATTTAACCCGGATGTTTTTAGTTGTGTAGGAATTTTAATTTCTAAGCGATTTCGTTTCCTAGAGATGTCCTGAATGTTGATGGCTATTAAGGTTTGCATTCTGTGTCCCGTTGTTAAGACCAGTAGTATTGCGACTTTCTGACAGACTGTCCAATGAAATTTTTTCATTCGGACTCCACTCAGCTATGTGTTTGAGGACAATATCCGGATCCCACGTTGAATTATATTTTGGTTTGGGGGGTCGCAATTTTGCGACACCTTTGCAAAATATTTTAATAGAGTCGTTTTCTCCGATGTGAGATCCCAGGATGAGAGCTACTGCTGACCGTAAGGAATTCACTGATCCGTAAGCGATTCCTTTTTTAAACTCGCTGGTAAGAAATGTCATCACATCCGAAATTGAAGAAGTTAAGAGTGGAGTATCAATTTGATGACAAAAGGTCCACCACTTTTTTAAACTTGAATTATATTGACGCAGCAATGATGGCGACAGTGAAGCCATGCTAATCTGGATTGTATCGTCGGAAAGTCCTTTCAGTCCATATGCCACTAAAATTCCCTTTGCATTGTCACTCGTTATCTTTTTTAAGACTTTTGGAATTAAGGCAAATGGAGGGAAAGCAAGAAAGAAAAAATTTTCCCAATTAATCGTGAATGCATCGACTGCAATAGAATCGGGATCGGGTTTCCAGGAAATATATTTAGCACATTTTGCGTTAATTCTACTGGCAAAAATATCAATTTCTGGGTACCCAAACGTGAAACAAATTTGTCTAAATGCTTTTTGTGAGAGACTATATTTGATTTCTGTTTCTAATCGTCGTGATTCGTAGTCTGCTACCGCGTTTTCTTTAGAAGAGATATATGAAGCGTAAATCCAGATATTGTGTTTTTCACACCAAGTTCAGATTTTTTTGGTTATGTTGTTTAAATTTTTGAATTTTATCCCCCCCATGCGATTGATGTACGATATCGCGGTGGTATTGTCAATGCGTAATAAAATATCGCAATTTTTGAGGTTCTTTGCAAAGCACTTTAACCCGAAAAGTGCAGCTTTGAGTTCGAGAAGATTTATATTCTCTTGGCGTTCCTGGCTATTCCAGAAACCATGAGCAGTCTCGTTGTTACAACTAGCATCTCACCCGGTTAAAGAGGCGTCTGTGAATATTTCTGCTACGAATTTTGGACTGGAAATTGGATTAAAAATATATCGAATATTTTCCCTCCACCAGTCTAAGTCATCTTTGACTTTGTTTGATAATTTTAAGCGCGCGTCAAAATTATTTCCATTATTTTCAAGGGCTAAAAACATTTCCCGCTCTAGGTCTTTTAAGTGAGCCTTCCCATATTTTGCTGCAAGACAACATGATGTGAGAGTACCGATAAGAGATGCAAAATCGCGAAAAGTAAAAATAGAACCGATTTTAAAATTTTTGTTAAGTTTTTCAGTTTTTTCTCTTTTTTCCCGGGAAGTTCTATTTTCATTTCGTTGGAATTTAAAATGAATCCCAAATATTTTTGCTTTGTATTTGGTTCTAACTGACTTTTTGATTCATTTATAACGAAACCTAATTTTTCTAATAATTCCCTGGTCACTTGTACACTTTTTGTACATTGCTGTTTTGTTTTTGCGATCAAAAGAATATCATCAAGATAAATTACGCAGAGAATACCGAGTTCCCTCAAGGAGGTAATTACGGGTTTCATTAATTTTGTGAAGACATACGGTGATGTATTTAACCCGAAAGGCAAGCAATTAAATTCGTATATCTGTCCATTGAACGAGAATCTTAAATATTTTTTAAAAGAATCTGCTACTGGTACCAAATTAAAGGCATCTTTTAAATCAATAGTAGCCATGTGGCAATTTGGTTCCATTAAATCTCTAGCTGTCCGTATGTCTTCCAATTTAAAATGAATCGTATTTATAAATGTATTTAATTTTTTGAGATTTAAGATGAACCGGTAAGTTCCATCTGGTTTGGGTGTCAAAAATATAGGTGAAAGAAACTGATCTTTACATTTATTTTTTAACGTGATTGCTCCCTTTAAAATCAGTTCTTCAATTTGTTTGAACAATGATTTTATTTCGCTTTCTGACCAGTGTGGTTCCACCGGAACTGCAAACTGAACTGGGAGAGTGGAAAAGGGGATTTTGTATCCGGCAATCCACGTAAAAACAGGTGACTTTGGGAAAAGTTCTTCCCAAGTTGTCAAGAAATGTTTAAGACGACCTGCTATATTTACCTTTAACGGGGTTTCTTCGAGTTGTTGTGATTTGTCCTGTAGTTGTTGTATCCCTGAGTCGGTCTGCGAGTGTATCTCTGACGATTGGAGTTGTTCGACTGTTGAGTGAATAGTTTGCGATGCCCCCCCGGGCCCCGTCGGTTGTGAGTTCATCTGGCGGGTGGGGCCTTTCGAGTTTATTGGATTTTTGAATCCTAATGATGGCGTTGATTTTGTTGTAATTTTTAGATCCTGAGATGATTTTTCTAAAGATTTTGCCGTTTTTAATGTTTCTGTGACGTCTTTTCCGAACAACCACTCTCCAGGTTTGGTAGCGCTGAGAGCTTCCTTCATCGTTGGGTTTAAATTCGAGAGTAACAGGAGACGTCTCGTAAGTGTCTCGTCGCGCTGCACATCTACGAGCATTTTGCCCACGTCACTTAATATTGTGACCATTTCGACTCTGTCTATATTTTCGTTCACGGATAA